ATTATTTATTACAGTAACTGATGTGGTTTCTCATATCCGACTGGACCGTGATGAAACAGGTCTAAAATGATTCACTGGGGGCGCCTGGGTGGCTCAGTCGGTTAAGCATCTGACTTTGGCTCAGGTCATGATCTCAGGGTTCGTGGGTTTGAGCCCGGCATCAGACTCTGTGCTGACAGCCAGTTCAGAGCCTGGAGGCTGTTTCTAATTCTGTGCCTCCCTTTCTCTCTGACCCTCCCCTGCTCACGCTCTCTCTCTCTGAAATAAATAAAACATTACAAAAAAAAAAAATCATTCACTGTATGCGTGGGAATGTGAACTAGTGCAGCCACTCTGGAAAACAGTATGGAGGTTCCTCGAAAAATTAAAAATAGAGCTACCCTGTGACCCAGCAATTGCACTCGTGGGTATTTATCCAGAGGATACAAAAATGCTGATTCGAAGGGGCACATGTACCCCAATGTTAGCAGCAGCGCTATTGACAATAGCCAAAGTGTGGAAGGAGCCCAAATGTCCATCGACTGATGCGGTATAGGGACACCTGCGTGGCTCAGTCTGCTAAGCGTCTAACTCTTGATTTCGACTCAGGTCATGATCTCATGGTTCATGAGTTCAAGCTTCACGCTGAGAGCGCAGAGCCTACTTGGGATTCTCTCTCTCAAAAAAAGAAAAAAAGGTGTGGTATATACACACAATGGAGTATTACTTGGCAATTTAAAAAAAAAGAAAATTTGCCATTTGCAACAACGTGGATGGAACTAGAGGTTATTATGCTAAGCGAAGTAAGTCAGAAAAAGAAAAATTTATTATGATTTCACTCATATGTGGAATTTAAGAAACAAAACAGATGAACACAGGAAGGGAAGGGAAAAATAAGGTAAAAATAGAGAGGGTGGCAAACCCTAAGAGAGTCTTAAATACAGAGAGCAAACTGAGGGTTGCTGGAGGGGAGGTGGGTGGGGAGGGGCTGGATGGGGTATGGGTATTAAAAGGGCACTTGTGATGAGCACTGGGTGTTATAGGTACATGATGAATCACTGAACTGTGCTCTTGACAAAAATATTACACTGTATGTTAACTAACTTGAATTCAAATAAAATAAAATAAGATAAAATAAAATAAAATAAATGAATTGCTATAATGTAACGTGAAGAATATGGTTAACACCAGGCTTTTACTCCAATACTGAGAGATGCCCTGGGAAAGGAAGGTGACCTGGAACTGGAAATTCTTGTAAACTCCCTGACGCTGATGGCCTCCGGGCAAACAAGTGACGCCATTTGCTAGTGAGAGGCTTGATGCTTATCGAATGCTTTTAGCAGGATGTACCTGGGCCTCTGATATTGCTTTTAGCAACAGCACAGCAAACAAACAACCCCCACCTCTTGGAATCTGTGATTTATGGGCACAGCTCCCTGGAAAGTGTCACCCAAGCTATGCCGCCATCTGAGGAAGGATGTGCCCTGACCGAATGTCATCCTTCTGTGTAAGTGATGGAGCTGTGGGTAGTTTTCGGAAACCTCATGTGCCAACGTGGGCATGTGTGTCCTGGCCCAGACCTCCGTGCTTGATCTGTGCCCAGCAACTATGCATGTGCTTGACATTATTAGTAACCTTGATGCTGGGCGAGAGCTCCCATTTAGATGAGTCTGATTTGACAGTTGGTCCTTTGTGTTCTTACAGAAGGAATTTCTCAGAATGTTACTAGGGCTTTGTCAAAATATGATGAAGATGTGTTATACAGCTCGTAGAGAATCCAAGGGACAAGAGCAGTGAAGGGTGTCTCCAGGGCAGTGGTTAGAGGACCCCAGGATGAGAGGGCGGCCAGTCCACACTAGAGAAGTGTTAACTCAAAAGACTGATAGATAGCTGTTTTCAGCAAGATACCTTCTGGCTTCAGACTGGGAGAGCTAGGCTAGATTCCTTTGTGTGCTTGGCTTGCCTAGATCTCACGCGACTACAGCCCTTGCTTTCCTCTCCATTTTTGAAATGTGACAGGCAAAACATCAAAACTTGTAGATATCTATTTGATCTTGAATCTCAAGACAAAAAGAGCTAACTACAAAATGAAATTTATATTCAGTTATGTTAAAATTAAAAAACCGTTTCACCGAAAGTACCACAAAGAAAGTGAAAAGATAAACCACACAGTACGTGTGTGTGTATGTGTGTGCTTGAGGGCTTGGTATTTGTGACATATATACACAAAGATTATTGCCCCCAACACTAGAGCTATATATTTATATTAAAAAAATTTTTCATGTTCATTTATTTTTGAGAGATCGAGACAGAGCATGAGTAGAGGAAAGGCAGAGAGAGAGAGAGGGAGACACAGAATCCAAAGCAGGCTCCAGGCTCTGAGCTGTCAGCACAGAGCCCGATGCAGGGCTCGAACTCATGAGCTGTGAGATCATGACCTGAGTCGAAGTTGGGATCCTTAACTGACTGAGCCCCCAGGCATCCTGTTTGTACCTTTATATAAGAATATATACAGAACCCTCACAAATCAATAAGAAAAACACAAAGAACTGAATGGGAAGATGAACACAAGAAATGAACAGGCATTTCACAGAAGAGGAAAATAAACACATGAAAGATATTCCAGGTCACCTGGCTCCTGCCATGGCAGACACTGGCAAGGCCACGCTTGTGGACGCTGACGAGGCTCATGGCATCCAGTCATGACATCCTGACATCCAGTCCAGCAACGTGTAACGTGTGTGTCCTTAGAAGTGAGTTATACAACCTCTCTGAGCATTGCCTCTCCTTGCCATAGAACAGAGGGGCTGCTAAGAACCTGGTGAAGTTTTCAAAGTTCTGCGCAACATCAGTTTCCACGGATGTCGAATTATATCTCTGTGTGTGCAGGTGTGTGTGTGTGTGTGTGTGTGTGTGTGTGTGCGCGTGCGCGCACGCGCATGCACACATGCATTGGGGTGAGGAAACAAGGGTTTTAGGTTTAGTAACTTCGGAAAATTCTGGGTTAAATAAAGCTAACCTGATTTCTTGGAAACTTATGTGCACTGCCGATGTGTCCAGTGAACTTCCCAGAAGGGCCGGTGTGAGGAAGCCTCTGCTGGAACTAGTCCTTTGTGTGATGTGGAGCTATTTAAACAGTTATTATTCGCCTGGATCTCCTCCAGGAACTTTCTGGAAGGTTGACTTGGTGGTAAAAATGGCACCCATCATGGTCTCCAGTTCTCTCTGCTCCTCAGCTTCCAGAATGCTCTCTTTTCTGGGTTCTAAAATTGCTTAAAACTCTGTTTCACACTTAAAACAAACGACGAACTCTCATCTGTCGGGAGTCAGTCCTTCATCTGGCTTCCCTCGTCCCCATGCCGTGCCCTGTGCCCGGACACCAATCCCCGTGGAGCACAGCTGCTCCACGAGGACGTCACCCCTCAACACCTGGGTTGACTCCCATCCCTGGCGCGGGACCTTGTCAGACACATATTCCCCAGCATGGCGGCTTCGGTGTGAAGACAGGCTGTCGAACCATTTCCTTCCCCTGGGAGAAGCGTCTGTCAGTGGATAGTGAAGAGCAGCTTGCTCTTGATCTCCTCATACAACGCTGGCTGAGCAGTAATTTGGGGAAATGTAAAGGGCTCTTGCACACAGGATGAACAGAAGACACAACGATCACAGGAAGCAAACCTTTCAGCATTTCTGAGTTCGAATCCTCAACCCCCAGTCTCAAACCAATTGGGTTGACCAGCTGCTCGATGTCAGGGCTGCACTAGAGGGCGGTCCTGAGGTCGAGGGGCCCTCCTGCGGGGCCTGGCACAGAGAACCCTGACCTGGGGGTGAGGAGAGTTGAGTCCCAGCTTTGCCGCCAAGCCACTGTGAGATCTTGCCGGGAAGAGGAGTGACGTTAGATGGCCATTCCAAACTGGGGTGCTTAGGATAAGCCATCGTGAGCAGGTTCTCGTCTTTAAAAGGTCTAGGTGGTGGCGGTGGTCACGGGGCGTAGCGCGCAGAGGCCTGAAGCGGGGAGGGAAGGACTGTGTTGTGCACCGCCAGCTTCAGCGGAAGAGGAATTAGCTGCATCACTTGCCATCGGCGGGCGGTGGGTTCTGGCCCTTCGCGAAGTCTTGCTGGCTTATCCCCGCCCCGTCTCAGCTCCGCGTGTGCTGTTGTTCAGGGTGCCCGTGGTGGGGGCAGTGGAGGCTGAGTGGAGACCAGGGGCTGGCGAACACGGTGATGGGCTGTGCGTGCGTCACCTCGGGTCTCCAGGGGCGGCTCCAGGCATTTGGCACAGCCCCTTCTGTGGAGGTGAGGGCCATCTGGCGCCCCGCGGCGCCTTCAGCGTTCCCCACCTCCTTCCTTCTGCTCAACACCCGCCAGTTACCGTGATGGCCAGGAGCTGCTCCCTGTGGCTCCAGGGCCCCGTGGGATGGAGCCCCCCCCCGTCTTTATTCTATATTCCAGTGCCCATGTGCAGCCCCAACTTTACAAAGAGGCAGCATTTCCTCAGAGCCAACGACTTCGTCCCTGTGAGGCCGTGCCCAGACTAGCTGCGACGGAACCGCGCTGGCAGGTTTCACACTCAGAACAGTTTCGGGGGTGTTTCTGGTGAATCTAACACACACGGTGCAGAAGCTATGGGTCAAGGACTTTGGGGCCCTGGGACCGACTCTGGCTTCTTCCTGGACTAACTGTAAGAAAAATCACTTTTGATTTCTGAGCTTTGGTTGAATTCACCCATTTAAATGAAAATGAGTAACTCTCGCTCCTGGTCTCCAAGGTCCCTTCCAGATCCAACATCCAGTTGTACCGAGGGGCCGCTACCGACTCATATTTGACCCTGAAAATGGAGCAATTATCTCCAAGACCAAGTATTTGGAACGAAGTGGTTTTCACAAGAAGAAAGTTTAAAATACGGAAAAAAAAAATCTTACCGCTCAAATTTTGGAAACATTTCATAATTTATATATAAAATCTTGTAAGAAACCATGTAAAATGACAGAAATATCCACCTTACATTAAGAGTCAAAAAAAAATTCACACACACTGAATGTAAATTTTAATTATAAAACAATATGAACAAAACATTTTAAAATAATCTCAATTATTTGGCAACTCATCACATCCATTGCTGGAGGCAAGTTTGATCTTAAGAAAAATTTAATCTTATGAAAAACTTAGGGCGGACAGTTTGTTCGTATGGGAGTTAAAACATGTTTAAAAAAGAATCTGGCAATAAAGCCAGTTTCTATCTTGAAATCATTGTGTATAAAACAACATAAAATCCTGAAGCTCGACAGACAGGAGTGACCTAATCTCGATGCGTTTCTCGTCACGGAAAAGGACAACGTGGAAAGAAAATGGGTAGAAGCCTCGGAGGAACACAGAGGGGGGGAACGGACATGGACGGAATGGGTTTTTTCAGCTGCAGGGGGCGGGCTGGAGGGAGAGCCACAGAGGCGAGCGTAATCTAAAAACAAGGTACGTTCAACAGTCACAGCTGTGAACAGAAAAGCACTGCAGACCCTTTCTGGAGCTAAACTACTTTACTGGGATACATGCGAGAAGATTCGGTATTTCCTGCCGGGTCATAGTCAGATAGTTACAAGGCAGGGAGCGTCCTAAAACATCTCTACTAATGACTGCATAGCATTTAAAACCCCTCCCCCCCATTTTTTTTATAAAAAAAAATAATAAAATAAAATAAGCAGATATATAGTAAAGTTCACAGATAAGTTTTCTCTGTAAAATAAATAAAGTGTTCATTGATTAGCATCATACATAGAGTAAAATACAACCTATTTTTACAGGTTTCTATACTGTACACAGATTACCAGTAGGCAGCCTGGTGTCTGATGGGCCGGAAGGGTTTGCATTAGGGACGTGTCCCATCGGGAAATCCCAATTTCAAATGTTAAAATATACAACTACTTTGTTTGGAGTTCAGATACAAAGTAAACTTATTTTCCTTTATCTGAAATAAATGTACATAATATCTTCTATGAACAGTAGTTTATAAAGCTGTTTAAAACAGAACAAGAAAAAGCTTGCACCTAGGAACTCAGAGCACATGCATGTCCTTTCCCTGGTTAAAAACAAAAGCGTATGGCCCCGAGGCTCGTCCCTCCTCTCTCTGCGGTGGCCCCAACAAGCCAGGGACGGCAGCGGCGGCCAGGATTACCGCTTGGCCTTCTTCGAAGGGGCTTCCTCCACCCTCTGCTGGCCTCTAGTGCGGGCTCCGGGGGGGCTGGCTTCCCTCTTGCGCTTGCTAGAAGGCGAGAGCTGGGCCTTCGATCTGCAGCAAACAAAAGTCAAGGCAGTGGTGAGAGCTCAAAGGAACGCTTCAGTAATTTGGGAGTTCTTAATGAAGGGAAGGTGTTTTAACTTTAGGGCCCGGAGGAGACAGCCCGGGTCACGTTTCCGGAAGATGAGGCGGCTCTGGGGGAGAGTGGTGCTAACCTGTCAGCTACGGCCGCCTCACACAAATGGCCCGAGGGCGGCTCAGAGGCCTGTGCACTGCCTCCCACTCCCCTGCACTCCTGGCCTGGGTCCAAGCACCTTCTCCTCTGGGCCCTAGTTCCTCTGTCTACAAAGCAGCCCACAGCCAGTCCTCCACACACTGCCCTGAGTCGAGACGGCTGGCGGGAACCCAGCAGGGCTGTGGACTACGTCTGGGCAAGTGCCTGACAGTGTTTCACGGGCCAGTGTTACAGAGAAGGGCTGGCAATGTGAGAAAAGGCAATGGGGGGTGGGGGCGGCGCACGGGTGGCTCAGTTAAGCATCCGACTTTGGGTCACATCATGATGTCACAGTTCATGGGCTCCAACCCCACATCGGGCTCTGAGCTGACAGCTCGGAGCCTGCTTTGGATTCTGTGTCTCTCTCTCTCTGCCCCTCCCTTGCTCATGCTCTGTCTCTCTCGGTCTCTCAAAAATGAATAAATGCTAAAAAAAAGAGGGGGGGAAGGCACCAGAATTTCAGAAGAGCAACCTGGCCAATCTCCTTGCTCTCCTGTCTGCCGTGACAACTATCTGTTGGAAGCTCCAATGAATGGTATCACTATCCTGTTTATGCATTTTATGTATATATCCCGCTTGACCATCTGATGCTTTCAGGATAAAGTCATCCTGAGAATTCACAAAGTCCTTTACCATTAGCTCTTGACTCCTACACGGCCCTGGACCACAGTCCCGCCGAAGTCCTGTCGTTCCCAAACATGACACTCCTTTATGTTTTCATGCTTTGACATGTGAGTTCTTGGAGAATCACCCACACCTTCCACCTAGCAAACACCCTCGTTTTTAGGCCCCAGTTCAAAAGCAACTCCTCCTGGGAAGCCTTCCTCCTCACAGAGCAAGCTGCTCTCGGGAACCCCCTGGCACCCTGAGTCTTCGCCACAGCGCTCGCCGTTGTCACTGATCTGCTGGTCTTTCAACTAGAGCAGATAGTCATTACTGTAAAACAACAAGCGAGCAGACCTCAAGAGAAAATGCCGCTGGCATTGCTTCTATTAAGTTTCGTTCACAAAAATCTTGTTTTAGTGGTAGCGGCAGAATGTGAGCACTGGTTACACTGCAAAACATGGCTTTAGTGTGGCTGGGGCCAAGGAAAGCTTGAAGATCATGTCCACACGTCCACGTCCACTAGGCTGCTTCTCCAGGGCAGTGACTGGGTCCTGCACCTGGTTCACAGCATGTGTCCGCACCTGTCCGCGTTCTACCCGGGACGGAGACTGAAAACTAAGTCTAGCCGAGGTGGACCAGTGGGGGCTGCACCGACAGAAGAATGTGTTTGGTTTATCGTTCTTCTGACGACACAGGGAAATAGACTCAAACGGAGTCCACTACGGTTGTGCAGGACGCGGCCTCGGCACACAGGCACGTACTGCACAGAAGGGCCTGTTAACAGCCCACCCCTGCCAGGGTCGGGAAAGCCGCCAGCCCCTACGCTAACACCGATTCCGATTTGCTGAGCAGCCAGTGTGCGGCGGCACTGTGCCCGATGCCGCATGGCGGGGACCGCAGCTCTGGGTCAGGGCGCGTCTTCCTGGCCGGGAGAGCTCAGTGGGCCACCCAGGATGTGGTCTGTGGCCAGCGGCATCACCCGGGGGCTGTCAGGAATGCAGACTCTCGGGCCCCACCCCAGAATCACAGTCTTCATCCTAGTGAGAGTCTCCACGATTGGTCTGCAGTTCCATTTTGAGAAACAGGGACCAGACTTTCCTGAGATTCATCCCCTCCCTGATAAAATAAGAATAAATATTACACTCCACATAATGAGGATTAAATGGGAGAATGCATGTGAAAGGTGCCTGGCCCCTCGGTCCGCCTCCGTCTCTTGGGGGTGGGGATGACAGCACCTATACACGTTCCCCGAGCTGTGAAGATCAAGCTGTCCTAGGAGAGGCCACAAGAGCTTCCGTACAGCGAGGAGCCTTCTATCTCTTGGGGCTGTGACGTACGGAAGTAAGACATGCCCCGCATCTCCAGGAAGCAGCTCAGGGTCCAGAGGGGGCCGCACCGCCCCCTCGCACAGCAGGAAGGCCAGAGAAGACACCGAAGCAGCGGGGCCTCCTGAGGAGGGCGAGCCAGGGCGGCAGTGCCTGGCTTACTGGGGGGCTGGGAGCGAGGGCGCACAAGCCTGCACGAGCCAAGGCCAAAAAGGAGGCTGCGGTGTGGCCTGGGGGACGCAGCAGGACGAAGGGGGCCGTGGACGGTGGGGACGGAGCCGGAGTGGCTGTTTTGCTGTCACCCCTTCGCCTCGCCAGTGCTCCGGCCGGAACAGAAATGGTTCTGCGCTGTAGCCTGGCCGCCCACGCCGTGCTGGTCTAGCCATGCACTCAGACCTGCGGCCACTTGGGAAGAAACACGACCTGCCCTCGGCCCTGGTGGATGGGAGCCTGTAGGGACGGCTCACAAGGGTCAAGGGCAAGTCTGTGTAGCAGGGCCGTGAAGCAAGGGCTGACGTTCCCTCTGCAGCCACTCCAATTCCTTTCAGAGGAGGTTTCCATTTGGGAAACCAATGATCCCAAAAGACAGATCTTAAAGGAACTTGGGGAGAAAACATTACTGTATCAAAAATAAGCTCAGGGGATTGAAAATGACGTGGAGTGTAAGCAGGGACTTACCTTCCTAATGGGGGAGATTTACTAACTTTCTCGCTGGCAGATAACTTCTCTTTTGCTAATTTTTGGCGATTTCTAGAAGAAACTGTCTCTGGGCTGCCATGTTTGGATGCTGCAGGTGCCGCTGGCTTGCTAGGATGCTTTCTGAAACAGATTACAGAAACACCGGGCAGTGGTGCCCTCAACACTCCAGTCCCCGGGCCTGTCCGGAAAGGACGAGGCTCCTCGCGGGCGACTCAGAGAATGGGGACTCAAAGCAGAAAATGGTTGGTTTTCTGGACCAATGGTAAAAAGTGGATCTGATGTCGCCTACCATGGACTGCCTGCATGACTCTTTGCTTTTACTGTGTGGGAGATTTTTTCATGATTGAGAGGAAGAGGAGTCTGTGATGATAAAAAGCACACTGGCTGACAAGACAGCAATCCCCGCAGTGCTCACCGCGGGAGAATAAGGGCCTGGGGTCAGGGAAGTACAAGTCACAGGGCTGACTGACCAAGCCCTGAGGCTGGGCTGAGTAACGGTCTGCACAGGTAAGTGAGGAAGAAGAGCCGGCTGGCCAGGAACTGGGGAGAGAAAGCACGCATGAGCCAGTGTGCGGCTCCAGCGGAGAATGGAGCCCGGAGGTGGGGGGGTCCCTGCGAGGTGAGGTGGGGCGGTCCTCTTCCGGGTTCCTCAGCCACACTTGGTACAGAACACGTGCACAGAGCAAGCGCTCCAGAGGAGAACACACAAATTCCGGAGAGCACACGGATGACGAGGGGGCTCAAAGTAAGACCTGGAAGTTGTCCGCAAGTGTTTAGGGCAACACTGGAGAGAAGCCGCCAGAGCAGGGCCGGAACAAGCGCAGAGGCCTCTGGGGGGCCAGCTCCTGCTGCGCACGAGAAAGCAATGCTGGGGGGAGGGGTGTGGTCTCCCGCCGCCACCGAGGAGCCTGCGAGCAGGAAGACCTTCCCGGAGGAGCTGCGGGCACAGCGAGTGAGGTGCTAGCCCCGTAGAGACCCCAGCCAACCCCAAGAATCTGGAACTACAAAGAGCCAGAGCCCTGGAACCTATCAATAGCTGCCAAGGAGTCTAAACTAAGAGAATCCGTTTATAAGTCAGAAGTCCTTAAGGCACATTAAGAAGGAACACGGACAGTGTAGGTGACTACAGAATCAGAAGTCGGGCGAGCTTTGTTTCCAGAGAATTAATTCTAAACACATGACGGCTACCTGTGGACACTGAGAGACGGGAGAAGGCCCCCAGACGGCCTGTGAGGCGGGCCCTGCTGTCCTGGAGGAGCGGTAGCGCTGGTGTGGTTCTGTGCCGCACGCAGGGGAACCGCCCTCCAGAGCCCCAGCCTCCCCCACCCCCAGGGCACTGGACTCTGTCTCTTCTATTTATCTGGGCTGCTCCACCCAAAGTGCAAGTATGGGACCACCACCAGATCTTCAGCCGTGCGAGCTCCTAAAGTCTTGTGGCTCTAAAGTCTGATTCTCTGAGAAACCAAACCGTGGCAAGAATGGCTAATGATGAGTTAAGTATAGAGTAATCAGAAATAGGGTGATTTTGGCTCAGGTCATGATCTCACGGTTCGTGGGTTTGAGCCCTGTGTCGGGCTCTGCACTGATTTTCTCTCTCTCTCTGCCCCTTCCCTCCTTGCTCTCTATCTATCTCAAAAATAAATACACATAAAAATCATTAAAAGAAATAGGCTGACTTTAAGTCTTCATATGTTTTACTGCTACACTATGGGTGAGAGGTGTGATACAGTGATACTCTTGAAATCACTGTTTCTGAGATTTCTGATTAATCTTGGATAATGAAATGACAGAAGATGATACCACATTAATGGCTTGTGAATCACCTTAACTATGGAAAACACTCTTGCTTTAGTAAGTTAATTAACTGTAAAGGTCTCAAAAAGTGCCGTGGGGAAAAGAACACTGACTGATATCAACAGGGGCAGGTGGGGGTAGAACTGGCAAATGTCAATTCAGACAACGTTAAACAGGTTTCTTTCCTTTAGGACCATGCCAAGCCCCTGTGCGCTGGGACTTCTGAAGGACAAAGAACGCACTGGCATTCCCAAAACGCACTGGTGCACGGCACTCTTTTCTCCAGAGGCTTCTTGGGAGAATGACCTCTGGGAAATACGAAGGATGTTAGGAAAAAACGGTGGCATCCGGGCAATTGCACACAACTGACCTGCTCCGCGACACTGGCTGCTGGCGCCTCACCACAGTGACGGGGGTGCCTGCCCTGGCCCGCCGGGGCTGAGCCGGCGCACGCGGGAGCTGCGTGTGCACCTGCCTCCCCCGGGGCGTGCAGTATCTGAGACACCTGCTGGCGCTCAGCCAGCGTCTGTACGGGAACCGAACGGGTCCCAGCGAGCAGGCCTCCAGACCCTGGCAAGGACTGATGTGAAGGTGGAAGGCGGCTTTCTCGGAGAAGGACCGCAGTGTCCGAGGCCAAACCGGAAGGACACAGCCCCCGCTGCGGCACGAGGGAGTCAGGAAAGAGAAGCCCGTGAAACCCGAGGCTGCTCTCCACGGGGAAGCCTGCCGCCCCCGTTACCTCTGAGCCTCTGATCTGGTGGCCGACCTCGTGGTGGCTCCCGGGGGCTCCTCCTCGTCTTCCTCCTCCTCCTCCTCCTCCGACTCCTGGTCTCGCTTGTCCTCGGTGCCTTCAGACACTGATTTCTGGCGCTTCCTTTCCGGCTCTGAAGATTCTGCTGGGACAGAAGGGGGACACCTGGACTGGACAATTCCCCACGACACTTCCAGAGGAGAGTCATGGCGCTGGGAGTGCAGGAGGCCAGGGACTCGGAGGCAGAAGAAGTGGTTTTCCATTTCCTTTTGTTTCAGCGCTTGCAGCTCACAACTGTTTAACTTAACCTCAAACACATTTGGGATAGTTTACTTAGGCAGTTCACAGCCAGCACGCACGAAAAAGTCACATGTACTCAGGAAAGCATCTGGGATGTACCATTTCTGACATGGGATTAGAGCCGTTTCACACATATTTATGTAACATTAATACTGGCTGCCCCCCACTGGATTTTCCCTCGTCCAGAGAAAAACTCTTAAAAAGGTGACTGTGAAATGGTAAGACTCCGCAGTTAAGAACGTGCCAGAAACATACCAGCATCGTCTGACAGAGTGAGCGACCGCTTGGGCTTTCTTCCTCTCCGGCGCACGCTCGCTACCGCTTTCTCTTCGCCATCATCCTAGAAGCAAGGACGATCGAGTTGAAAGGGTGGTGAATTGAACATTTACTAAGTTTATTCCTAAAGGATGTACCTGATGAGAAAATTAACACTTACGTGGCTCATACGTCTCTCTTGTGGGGCACTGGCTTCTTTACTGGACTCGTCTTTAAGAAAAGGAAAACTTTAATTAGCATTAATACTTTATTGGTGTAAAATCCATTTTCAACAGTCCGGCTTGCTGTCTCTGAATGTACCAGTGCCCATCAATGCACAGTATCCTGACCTTGTATCAGGCAAGCGGACTTCGAGGCAGAACACCCAGCAGGAAGTACATCTGAATGCAAGTCAGCACCTCCAAGTTTGTGCTTCAGACCTGTCAGAAATCACCTGCGCCATCTGGGAGAATTATTTAAATTCCTCAAAACTCAGCTTTTCATCTGTAAGGTAAGGACGTGGTTAGCCCACCCCTTTCAGCTCAAATGCTCTGAATCCAGAGGAGGAGGAGGAGGAGGAGAGGGACACCTGGGGGGCCCTCGAGACGCACCGGGAGCTGCACGTCAGGATGACGGACCTCACAGAGGCCTCAACGGAGCCCATCCCCATTTTACAGTTAGGAAAAACAAGGCTCAGGTAACGTGATGTGACTGACTTGTTCGGAGTCACGTGACAAGTGGCACGCTGGCTGGAACGCTCTGACTATAAACAGTTCTATCAGAGCAATGAGAAGAGCACCTATTAGAAGCCTGTTTTGGGTTGTGCATGGCAGTTCTTCACATACATGCCTCCTGTAGATGTTATGGTTTTCTGATGGTGTATCTGGCGAGGAGGACACAGTTCCGTTTAAGGCGCTGTTTGAAGATTATTAACGTTACGGGCGTGCTCACTAGACACTCGGTGAGGACCGTGAGGTCACCCTTCCCTGCGCGCTGACTGATGCAGACGCAAGAGCCACATCAGGAAGGCTGCCTTAACCGGCCATTGTTACCCGGACTCAGAAAATCACTGCCAAACCACTGATCACACAGCTCAACTTAAGTCTAAATGTAGAGGGCACATTCAAGTTATCAAGGTTTCTTGTATGAATTCAAAATATTATACAATTATGAATAAAACTGGTTAAAAACCAAACATAACCAGAAGTTCCCTTTGTAAAAAAAAAAAAAAAAAATCCGCCAACCTTAATGTTCCGAGATAAGAGAAACTGAAATTTGATCGCGAGATCACACGGTTAAATGCGGAAAAGGTTCTAAATCATGTATTTGCTTTACCTTGTTGAGAATATGTACTCTTTCCTGATCTAACCAGCTGTTTATTTGACCTGAAATAGCAGTCATGTTCATCTTTCTGCCTTTTCCAGTCCTTTAAAACCCACCAAGGGGTCTTGTTGCTTTTAAGTACAGAACTTTAAGCCAGAAAGGGGCTCCTGGGTGGCTCAGTCGGATAAGCCTCCGACTTCGGCTCACGTCGTGATCTCATGGTTCGTTGGGTTCGAGCCCTGCATTGGGCTCTGTGCTGACAGCTAGCTCAGAGCCTGGAGCCTATTTTCGATTCTGTCTCTCTCTCTCTCTCTCTCTCTGACCTTCCTCTGTTCATGCTCTATCTCAGAAATAAAAAAATAAAAATTTAAAAAATTTAAAAAAAAAAAAAAAAGAACTTTAAACCAGAAATATATACACATTGTAAAAATTCTGGAACATGCTGGTAACAAAAAGAATGTTCCCATTATCCCACCACCCGAGCCAATGATTGTCAACATTCTGGAGGATTTTTCTCCTTGGAATGAGGACAAAAACAACGGGAACAGTTTTATCTCTTGCACTCCGGCTCTATAAGCTACACAGGCTGCTTTCAAAACTCTGCGAAAACAACAGAATCTTGCATAAATTCCTATCTTCCTGGTGTGGGTGCCCAGGCCCCAGCTCGATCCATCTCTCCCTGAAACATATCCAGTAAAATGGTTTGGACGTGGCAGGGCCACCCCTATTTTACTTTTGCTGCCTTCACCCTCGTCTCTGGAGGCTTCCTACAGAAACCTAACACCAAGAAGGGCTCACGTCACAACAAAGGCCAGTAGCAAGAGTCTCCCGCGACTCCAAGGACAACTGCTGAGAGCCACCTCGTGAGAAACCACAGAGCTCTACAACCTCCCCCATGGGTGCCGCCTCCGTCCTTACGGAGGTCACGTGCAGAGCAACGCCTGAGGCTTACCGGCTTGTGTGGCTTTTGGTTTGCTGCCAGACGGAGACTGTTCGACCTACATTTAAGCAAAGAAAAAACTGAAGTCAGCAGTTGGTCGTCACCGCAAACAAAGTCAGTAATTACATAAGGAAGGTTCAGGATCGCTGCTATGGAGGCAGGATCCGCGGACCGCCTATCTCCTGCCCTTGGTGAGGTCCACCATGGGAACATGGCTGCCACGCTTGTGAACACATGCTCCTTCCACCACGAGCCTCGTCCCGGCCGCTCTGCTGTTGCGCCGGGGGAGGGACACCGGAGGGGACGGGGCATGGCCCACCGTTAGTATTCCTGACTCGGGCAAACCGTCTCACACGCACGCATGGCTCCTGGGGTCTGCTGTCTTCTAGTAACTGCACTGAGAGAAGTACTGCAGGGACTGTTACAGTTCTTTATAGCCAAAGAAATGGGGGTCTCTAGAAGGTCACACGACCAGCCCAGTGCACAGTTCTGGCTGTAAGTTGCAGAGTGGAGACTTGAGTCCCATTTGCTTTTGTTAGGACACTGGACACATGTTTGTCCTTCTAAGGACACTGTCATTGAAACTCATGCAATGAAGTCTTGACACAATGACTTTGCTGACTGTACACTTCAGGGTCAAACATAAAGAAAAGATAAAGTGTCACTGAGGATTTTCCTGCCTTGAAATCAGGGGACATTTTATTACGAAAGGAACTCCATAGACAGTAGTAACGGGTGTGACACAGTGAAGGTTTCCATAAAGCCGTTATCTAAAAATCATATAAAAGAGCTACTTTCTGTATTATAATCAAGGATAACGAGGTAAGTCCCTACGTAATTTTTATGCAGCCAAACTCACACGGGAGGATGGGGTCAGATTGAAGAACAGTAGATTGTGTCAAGATACTGGTAACCGAAATGTTATGTAAGCGGTTACTCAGTATCTTACTCAAGGGGTTCTTATAATGCTTTTCAAATATTTAAAGAAATAAAGTGGTTCAAAACACGATTCCCGCAGTCTACACTATCCAGGTCCGGAGCAAATGCTCCCAGATTTCTCACACGCTGGAATTACTCACAGTGACAACGCCAGGATCCGTTTTGCAATCTTCTTCTAAAAAGTAAAAATCTCACTTAGAAAATCAGTTTGAAAATGTCTTTTTTTTTTTTTTTTTAAAGTAAGCTCTATGCCTGACGTGGGGCTCAAACTCATGCTCCTGAGATGGAGAATCGCACGCTCTAATGACTGAGCCAACTAGACCCCCCTGAAACTGTCTCTCACGTGAACTGAAAACACACGAAATAAATACCTACTTGTTTTTAACGCTGTTTCGACTGGGTATTTACGGGGTCTTCCTCTTTTCCTTTTAATAATTACTGGCTGATCTTCCTGATGGGAAAGGAGACAAAGAGCAATAAAATTGTTTTGTTGTGGTCTCCAAATGGCACTTTGAGTTCTCTCCTGAGAGGTCTCTGATCCCAGCTCTGTCACTTACACATAACTGGCCCAGGGATCCATTCCGGGCCGTGCATTCCGTCACCGTGTAAACACAGAGAGCTGTACTCCTAATTCACAGAGTCAGGAGGATTAGGTGACGAGCTAACGGAGATGAGTGCTTAGTGTCAGCTTTGACTTCTGCCATCGATATATATATATATATGCATTTAAATATGGATTCCCTGCTAGTCACCTGTGACCACATGTTATCTCTTATAAAAAAATAAAGGAGGCCACTGATCTTCTCATACACAAGTGTGAGAAAACAAAAGAACTATTCAAAAGTTGTATCAAGTCAGGCAAACTTGGTCACGGTCATCTGGAGGTGGCTGGTGTATGGGCTGTCTCCCTTGATTTATGGGCCTGTCTCAGGCCAGTGGGATTCTGCCGGCCCCCTCCCTGGGCTCTGCACATCCCCCAGGGTATGGGGCAGGGGAGGGAGGGTGTGAGGCTGGAGGTCGGCCTGCTCTCCCGAAAGTGGGTCCCGTTCAGCGCTTGCTGCGGGCTGTCTGCACACCCGGCTGTGCTGTCCCCGTTCTGTCCTGTGCAGACTCCAGGGCTCGGCAGCCGTGCTCCCTGACCTACAGACTGAGGCACAGCTCGGGGCTGACCCTACATGGTCATGACAGAAGCAGGTCTCTTACAAATGTTCAGATGACATGAAGCAAAAGTGAAGAGCACAAGATTAACCCCAATGACGCCGATACTATGATGCCCGGCGTGAAACGGTGGCTCACTGAACTAAAACCACGAACGACTTCAAAAGCACTTGACAGAAACTTTTGGGAATCACCTTTAATGCGTTTTCCTTCCCAGCAGCACTCGCATCCCTGAGCAAGAAGGTATGAAGGACACTCCTTACCTCCTGAGATTTCACCGTGTCATCATCATTCTGCTCTGTCTTTTCACCAGCAGCTTCCCCGCTGCTGTATTCGTCTGCAGGAAGAGCACAGCCCAGTTCACTGCTGGGGACCCCGGGCAGCCGCGCCGCCACCACACCCGTCCAGGTGGCCAACGCGGTCCTGGTCATCGATGCACACACACGCCGTCTCCAGGCCTACGCCCCCCCCCAAGTTAACACGCCAGAGTCTGGCTAACTGAGGAGCAGACTTAGGGTAGAGTTAAGACCCAAATTCAAAACGATTCCCAAGCCCTGTGGCTGTGAAGGCCCAGCGCACTGTGTTCTCCGGGAAGGACAGACGAGCCAGCTGCAGCGTCGGCCCGCGACGCCTGGGGACGGAGACGCTGACGCTCGGAAGGGTTAGTCTCGTCTCACGAGAATTTATCTAAGTCCCTGTGTTACTCACCTTTTTCGTCCACGGCCCGGGAGGCAGTGCTGGCTGTCTTAGAACTCATTTTAGAGAATTCTTCCGGATCCGCTGCGTTCCCCTCCTATGGAGAAGTTGAACAAGTAAGAGGCTTCTTCACCCTGCCTCCTCTTGTCCTTCCCACAGGTTTTCCTTTCTATTTCAAAAAATATTTCCTAGGAGTTTTTTTAGAAGTTTGTTGCAGAATGTTTAAAAAGTAACTGTTTTTGCTGCTAGCGAGGCTATACAAAAAGATACAAATTCCAAAGGCAGAATCACAGGAGATAAAACTCGACTCAACAGCAACAAGGCCATTCTATCCCCCGCGCCAAAACAGAAATCACTCTTCCTCCCTCACCCTGGATTTCGTCTTTTTGAGAGAAACTCCAAAGAAGAACTGATAGGAATTTGCAACAGATTTCTTTTTCTTTGTTGGGAGGCGAAGGAGGAGACGGGGGGGGGGGGGGGGGGGGGGGGGGGGGGGCCGGGAAGGATAAAGAGGAAAGCGCCTGAGAGAATTTGGGGGATCCAGGTGGGCTGATTTAGAACAATGATCTCACAACGCATGAGTCATTCACCCTTAGGGGCAAAAGAGTTTTGAGCAAGAAACACTGAAATGTCATAGTGCAACATTAACATAGTACCCAAACAAAAACACATAAAATGTAAAATTAGAAATCCATCTTACAATGTTGAAAATATTATCTGTACGGGAGTTTTTAGTGAAAATGGTTGGTATATTTGACTTAAACATTGAAAACCTCACATGAAATTGAAGGGAAAACAAAAAGATACCCCTTCAAGCTGCACCTCTACCAATCCAAGTGTATGGTCTCAGGATTCTTCTGGACAGGGCAGGGGGAGGGGTGGGGTTCAAATCCCCTTTCTTTCCTTCACCATGACCAACTGAAATTCATGACGTTACGCGACTCCCTCTTTGGTTGTTAAAATTCTGCACCACTTTTTATTTAGTTCATCGGTCACTGGCAGAAAAGGGAGACTCTGAACCTGTTTTACTAAGCTAGAATTCGAGTGCATGTACTGACAGAAGCGGACTTAAATACTTCTGGTACAAGGTGGAAAAAATAAGTGAGGGAAAGAGGGAACAGGGGGGGCGCCTGGGTGGCTTAGTTGGTTAAGCGTCCGACTTTCGCTTAGGTCATGATCTCGCGGTTCGTGGGTTCGAGCCCCGCGTCGGGCTCTGTGCTGACTGCCAGCTCAGAGCCTGGAGCCTGTTTCAGTCTGTGACTCCCTCTCTCTCTGACCCTCCCCTGCTCACGCTGTCTCTCTCTCTCTCTCCCTCTCTCCTAGAAATAAATAAAAAAATTAAAAAAAATCAATATTCTAAAAAAAAAAAAAAAAAAAGAGGGAACAGGGAGATGGAGCTAGTGTGGAAGAGGCAATGAGTAGTGCTGAGTCGCAGACACGGACACGTGCCTGAGAAGAGGTATCTGCCAGGAGATGCTCAAACGGGGCCTGGAGAGCAGGGGCAGAAATTCAAATGTGGGAGCTGCCTCCCTGAGTCCTAAGGTGAGAATATGACCATGTGAACAAAAGGCAGTGGGTGAGGTCGGCCCTTGGACGACTTCTATTTCAAGGCCAGGAAGTACAGTAAATGGCAGAATATTTACACTTTAAAATAACATATATCGCTGTATTTCACGGTTTTGGTGCAAGCTCATCTGTAGCATGTGACACTTTGGAAGAAAACGCCTAGAAACCTGAAGTCAGTGAAGATGACTGAACGGAAACCTAAGTAATGGTCATATATAAACTGTGATATTAATACTCTTACAGCTTAAAATGATATTTTGGGTTTTCTGCAGATTTCTAAAAAATATACCTTTTACGATAAAGCGACTATTACAGATACAGAAAGTAAAAAGGATATGATGATGAAAAAGAATATCCTAAGTACTCACAGTGATGTAATTAGGTTACCCCCAAAACTGAAAATTAATATGTGGGAAAATACCTTTGTATCTTGTGGCTCAGTTTCAGAACACTGCCTGTGTGCTGCTTCTATTCTGGAATCTAGGACATCTGGATTTTCATCTGTAAATCAGTTTGGACAGAATCACAAAGGAATAAAAGCTAAATGAAAAATGAAATGCATAGTTCTATTTTAAGACAGTTTAAGACTTCTTTTTTAGTCTTGTGATATACTGAAGCCAAAAGTTACTCTAAATGTATTTATGTCATGTGACTTGAGCAGTGAACGCTGATGGTGGCCCTGGCAAAACCAAAAAAGTGAAATATAAAAAATCCACAAATGCTCAGATGACCCCAATAAAGCAGTAGGTTCCATGGAAAGGGCCTAGGGCATATGGAGTTTCCAGAGATACTTTAACATCCCGAATGAGTTACTACCTAGGAGGTACAGCTTAGGGATTAAGACCATGGGCTTGGGAATCAGATTTACTTGGTGGGAATAAAATCATAATCTCATCAAACCTTAATTTCTACATTTACAAAATGGTGATAATGCCTAACCTACACAGTTATTATGAACATGTATGAAATAACATGAATGGAGCCTAAAATATGAACTCAAGAATTAAAAAATAATTTCATGCTCCTAACCAAAGAGGGAAGCATTTATCCATTCTTTCTCACCTATTATTTAATAAGCATGTATTGCATTTCTATTTTCTATCAGGTGTCAAAGTCTCTGTACTATCCAATATGGCAGCCATTAGGTACACGTGGCTGTTGGAATTTAAATTAAAATGGAATGAAATTATAAATCCGGTCTTTCGTTCATGCTGATGGCATTGCATTGCTCAATAGCCACATGTGGCTAGTGGCTACCAGACAAAACAAACCCAGAGTATTTCCACCACTGTGACGAGTTCTATTGGATGGCACTGTTATAGACCACGGGATGGTTAACAGTATGACGCACAGAAGGGCTACTACATTTAGCTTCACTGATACACTTCACTAGCGCTGTGGGGCATCTGTTTATGATATAAAATAAGGAACCTGTGGCCCCTGGCAGGGTCCAGACACAAGTTACGGAGGGACCTTGGGTTTGTGTGAGTCCCAGCGGCTGGGTCTTCTGTAGGTAAGAATGTAGTTTCTGGATCAAGTCCAGAAAAACCCTGGAGGCGCCAAGCCAGTCAGGACACAAACTGGACTCAAGAGTTGTAAAGTAAGTAATTATTACCCTCAAAATTTCCTAGGATGCTTGCACAATATTTTGGATGTAAAAATAATATGATCTTCAAAGATGTCTAAAAGAGGAACATATATATTCTAAATACCCAGTTCATCTTCTGAAGAGGGGTAATGCTTCTTTCTTTTTCTTTTAGGCATCTGCCTTTCTTCCTCTTCAGCCTGGAATTAAGAATGACTGTATTAAAGGCAATACAATGTGGAACCAAATCTACTGAAATGATAGCACATATCAGCTTCTAGCCGTTGAAATAAATTTTCATCCAATTAAAAAAAAAATCTAGAATAACATTTTTGGCATCTAGATTTGGATGCGACTTATTTTATGAGCTATGAGCCTGAGTCTTTTTTTTTTTTTTTTGGATTTGAACGTAAATCTATACAAAACATCTAAATCTGTTTCTGATTAGATACTGTATTTTAACAATTCTAAAATATGTTTTTAAATAAGTATTTCTCCTTTTACCATCTCCGAAGTCCAGCTATGTCTTACAATCAATCAATGGCATGCCATAAATTAATTGGTAGGGTTCTTCTCCTCTCAGTGGCCCAGCAAAAAGCTAAGGAAAGGCAGGGTATGAAATAACACATAACCTTCCTGACTGTACAATGTGGGCACATCCCAATAATCACCTACATAACACTAGAGCATTAACAGATAAAAGGGATACGGAGATTCATTTAATTTTTAACACATACAAAGAAGTAAAGCCTTCTCTGTGCACCGGTGAAAACACTACGTACAAACCATGAAACACTGGAGTTTCTTAGGAAAACTTACCTCTTTAGGATTTGCTTCAACACTGTGATCTCGTAAGGCTTCTGTGCTGTCTTTTCTGCCATTGGATATCTCTGATTTATAAACACAAAAAAGAGAAAAGGTTAACTACTATTCATTCCGATACTTATTTGAGGGGCGTGCATGGCAGAGGGAAGGACACTTTATAAATCCTCGTGACGGGTCCTCATGGCAATATGTCAGGTAAGCTCTGTGATTTCCATTTGTGAATGTGAGTAAATGGGTTCGTGAAAGGATGAGGGTCACTGGACTCTGCACAGAGTAGAGCCATAGTCCTCCAGCTCACGGAGCAACACACTGTGAAGACGCATCCAAGGAAAACCAGTCCTTGTTTCACAGTCCTCTGACTGGCCAACGGTTTCCGAGTCTGATAATACTAAGTACGGGAGAAGATGTGGGGCTATCACTGGAACCACCTGGGGACAGTCTGGCACAGTGTGAAGAGGCGCCCAGCCCTCAGCAACTGCACACCCCAGTCACAGCCACACGACTGTGCGTCGGGAAACAGGCACCGGACCACACACGGCTGCACTCTTCGTAACTGGGAAAGTTGTAAAAACCCAATGTCCACCAACAAAAGCAAAACCGAATGAAGGTGGTAGGACACTGAACAGCGCCTGAAATCAAGTAACTGGAGTTACACTCGTCAACACAAGATTTCAGAATGTAATGCCGAATGAATGGTCTCCAAATAAGGCGGGTCAGTTCCTCCATGTATGCACCGTCACGCTACGTATTTTCTGTGGAAATACATGCACTGACTGTAGAAGAATGGTTCCTTTTGGAGTAGTTGGCAGAGAGAGAGTGGGATCAGGGAGGCATACAACGTGATTTCAATTCTCTCTGTAACATTTTTTTTACAAGCCAATGGAGCAAATATACCAAATTTTAAGATAAGACAGAAACAGGTGATGAGTATTGGAGTATATAGAATTATCACTGCTTTACTTTGGTTTGAAACGTGGTATAACGTATTATAAGAAGACCTCTTTCCCCATTCTTGCAGTAGGGTATCCACGGTAGGAATCAACGAAATTCTACATTCTGTTTGAGAGAATTGTCCCTCTGGAATTGGCAGCCTCCATGGGTTTCAGGGAGTGAGGCCTGACTGCTGGGGGAACAGCCACATAGATGGGACATCCCTGACCTACCAAACTGGGACTGCCGGTCCGAAGTAAACACAGGTACTTAGCATAAGTACTTAGCATGAGTACTTAGAACTTTTCCTACAGTACAAATGACGGGGGACTATGCAGTTTGTATTCCCACTGTATTAAGACCATTCTCAGGTTCCTGGCAAAGTTCTAGTAGCCATTTACGGCAAGGAACCACTCACTTATCAGCTAGAGGGCCTTGGACAAGCCCTGGACCTCTCCAAGCCTCAGTTTCGTCAGCTACTGAAGTGATGCTGCTAACACTAACCAAATGACATGGCTTAAGAGCAAATTTGTGAAGTCATTAGCATAGGGCCTGACAGACAGGAGGCCCCGACAAATGGTAACCACAGTCAATATTAACATCAACAGTATGAAATTCATTAACTTACCTTCTTTGTTAGATTTGCCATCAATTTCTTCATTTGTTCTGGAGCCTGAATTTTTGACCTAAACATAGCATAGAAAAGCTTATTTACGGATAATCTCACCAGAGTCTTAAAGGCAGAAAAAAACAAGTAAGGAGGGTAATGGACATAATCTGGCCATTTGTAGGAATGATGAAATGGACTAGAATACCTGCTCAAATTTCACCCAGGAAAGAAAAAGTTTAAAAAATAAATTTCACCCAGAGGCCTAAGGGCACAGTGCTTTTGTAGTTTTGGCTTAACAAATTATCATCCCACTGTGTTTACTCTCCTTGTTTTTAGTTATGGTAAAAGTGTAAGAAGAAAACTATTCTGAATTCTATGAATTCTCTTCCCATCCGATGGACCCTCACGATTTTTTTTTCTCTTTATTTAAAAATGCTGAAGGATTCTGTCATTCTGTCATCATCTCTCTCAGGCAAATCTTTTTTTCTTATTTAATTTTTTTAAACATTTATTCATTCTTTGAGAGAGAGACACAGTGTAAGCAGGGGAGGGGCAGAGAGAGAGGGAGACACAGAATCTGAAGCAGGCTCCAGGCCCTGAGCTGTCAGCACACAGGCCGATACAAGGTTCAAACCCACGAACCATGAGATCATGACTTGAGCTCAAGTAGGCTGCTTAACTGACTGAGCCACCCAGGTGCCCCTCTCTCTGAGAAAGCTTGTCAACTGTGCTTTTGTTTTTTAACTGAGGGAAGTCTCAGAATATCCTACAACATTCTAAATCCTAGCTACAGAATTTCATGAATATTTGGAAAGGACAGTGATGCCCTGACTGGGGAAAGGCAGCTGCCGGGGGCCCTCAGGGAAACAAGGCGGGGTGCTGCTGAGGGCCCTCAGGGAAACGAGGCGGGGTGCTGCTGGGGGGCCTCAGAAAAACGAGGCCAGGTGGAGGCCTCCACATTAGGAATCTTTTTGGAGGAAAAATCTGAACCAAACCAAGTGGGTTTTTCTCTTCCTTCTCACTCAGCTGATTGTGTAGGCGTTTCTAGCTACAATACAGGATGTTTCAAAGGGGTGAAGATAGCCCTCTGATATCTGTTGGTGCAGAGCTCCGCTAGTTCTCTGGGGCACTGGAAAGAATGTGTCTGTTTGCGACTTGCAAGCATTTTACAAAATGTTCTCTCCTGGTGAGATATCGGGTCCCTTGTACGTTAAGGAGGACATAAAATTTCTTTCCAGCACAAAAGGGATTATGACAGCCAAGGCTGTGAAAGACTATGTATGCGTGGCAATTATAGTTTAGTACCTTCCGGAAAGCTTTTCCAAAAACATAAAATGACCTCTGGTTTTCAAACAGTTTTGTCTACAGCACCGGGATAATTTCAGAGGCTGCAATCCAGTGATCAAACTCGCTACAAGTCATAAAAAAATAGAAAGTTCATGTTCTTTGAAAGATTTCATTAGTAATTGCCAGGTGAGTCTCCTAGTCTGAGGTATTGAGGCCTTCTTCTGCTTCCTTAAATGCTTCAAGACGCTGGTCTAAGGAGTCACTAGTATCCGGTACTGCTGAATTCAGAGCGGCCCTTTCCTTCTGAGGGATGCAACTCAATTTTACAGCATCAGCGGACATAGCTGAACGCTGGCCTGGGCGTCGCGGTGTGACACTTTCAAGCCAAGGGCACACCACAAGCAGCCTCCTGTCTCCTAAACAGTGCACCAGGCAGCCCTCCTGCGAGACACCCCTATCCATTTGTGCGAACACCGAACCCCACAACAAAACCCGAACCCTGATGGTGACTTACATTAAGTGACTGATTCACCAAGAAAGGCTCTCCCTGCAGTTGGGCTGTTCAAAAACAAAAATGAGAAATAAGGAAACCGAATATGGTTTCTGAACCACAGAGAAACAAATACAGAATTTCTTAAGGTAAAGTAGGGCTGTGTCGCTAAGTGGCCTATGAACTATGAACTTGCGAACTGTAAGATTCCGACCCATTGCTTTCTATAATTCGTGTCTGCCATTATACCAGAAAAACAGAAACTATTGTTGCCTGCATTTTTCTAATAATGGCAGCAGTCCATTAAGTCACTGCAACTATTTAACTATGTTGGTGATCTATCTGAAGCTTAGAAGAAAGGGAGACCTCTGCTTAACTGTTGAGCTGCGAAGTGACATAGGTTCATTTAAAAATCATGTCATCAAGGGAAAAGTTAGATTCTATCCCTTCAAACAGCAATGGTCTATTTATATTCTCTAGAAACTTGAAGTACAACGTCTACTGTTTCTACTCAACAATGACAGAACACACATTTTTCTTTTAAACAACTTCCTTTTACGTAAGTAGATCTCTTACTGAATCATACCTAAACACAGGGAAGTCATCTGGAATTATACTGAGGGAACAAAAGACTTCAGAATCCAAAAACTTTACCTTCTTGACAATTAACAAGGGGATGTTCATTATCTGTAGTCTAACACATACAGACAAATTTTAGCTAATGCATCTAGGTTTTGGATAAATGAGTCATTGTTCTTAACATGTCATCGGTTTTGTAACACTTCAGCATGAATGGCTTCTCAGGTCTTGGGGTGATTCCCGAGGACTGTTTGATCCTGCTGCTTAGAAGGCTCTTGAGATCCCATACTCTGGGGACTGTCCCTTCAGATGGTTTTGCTTGGAGGGTCCCTGTCCTGACCACCCTGGACAGTCCTGAGTGAGGATCCACACACACTGGCCTCCTCTTTGCCTTGCCCACCTAATGCGTACCTGCTCATCCTTTGATATTTGGCTCCAAATTAGGGGGAATGACAAGCGTTTATGGAAATTTAAACCTTATATATTCCCTGACCCTTCAATTCTCTTTCATGGAAATACTTGAGGGAAACACAGAACGACATGCATATTAAAGTTCATTGCAACTTTATTTATAATAGTTAAAAACCATAAAAACTGGAGACCACTAAAGCTCTAACAAATGGGAAAATGCGTTACAGACTACTTTCAGCTGTTAAAACAAATGAGGTCAATCTGTATATGCTAACACCAAGTTAAAAAGAAAAAAAGAAATTACAGAACACTCTAAGTACTATGATTTCATTTTTGTTTAAATACAGAATTGTATTTAAGGTGGGTATCATGAAACGTGGGAAGCTTTACTATGCACTTCTATGTATCTGACTTTCTATAATTAAAGGGGGAAAGAGACACTGGTTTAGCTTAAACCCAGGCCCTCCCCAGGCTCCCAGCAGAGCCAGCCCCATCGGTCATGCATGTATCTCGCTGACACAGAGAACCTCCCTCAATGGCAGTTACTTCTGCAAACTCCCTGAGCACAGGAAGCACATTTTCCACCTCCATTTCCCTGGTACTCACAAGGAACCCCGCTTACTCACGTTTGTTGGGGGAGTAATTTAAAGAGCCAAGGCCATCATGGTAAATATAATAGCTGCTCTCCTAGCCCCTTCTCCAAGAACTCAGACTGTGGTCTGGGATACTGTGTGTTTCCAGAGACACCAACTTGACTCTCACCCCAGGAATAGAGCACTTGATTCCATTCGAGTCAACCATCAAATCACATGCATCTGGTCATAGTTAGTAACTAGTTTAGGGTGGACAAAGGTACCGAAGCTGAAATCAGAGTAAGTCTCAAGATTTCGGCCGGGAATGACAGGACAAAGATATTTCTGTAGAGGCTCACAAATGAGAAAGCTATGACCTCTGTTGGGGGTTGAGGGAAGGGTAAGAAATTGGGTCTTTACAAGATGGGTCCTTGGGGATGCATCATGCTCTTGGATCATACTCTGCCTGAGTTTTGCAGTTTTCTGAATGCTGTGGACTGGATGTTTGAGTCCCACCCCTCACCCCCCCAATTCATATATTGAAACTCTAGTCACCAATATGATGGTATTGGTGACCTTATGGAGAGCAGAAGAGGTAGGAGATCGTTTTCTCTGCATGCATACATGTGAGATCATAACCAGAAAGAGAGCCCTTTCCAAGAACCTGACCATGATGGCACCCTGAATTTGGAGCTTCAGCCTCCAGAACCATGAAAAATAAGTATTTGTTGCTTCAGCACCCAGTCTACGGAATTCTGTCCTAACAGCTGAACTGCCTCAGACAGTGAGTGAGTACATTCCCTATAAACGTTGGGAGGGCTTTCTGTTACTTGCAACCACAATCGCCTTGACTGTTCCACGCAGCTTATATGGACATCTCAACATTTAAAAACAAACAAAAAAGAACTGACTTGATTTTGGTCACATACTCTCAAGTTCCTAGTATCTTTTTCCTTAGATGATGTGCAGGTCAGAAGAGATGATACAATAATGATTATAATACAAACCAGAAATAATTGTCCATTGTCGCAATTCTCATTTCTATTTCCCTGACCCAGTGATTCTCAAAGTGTGGTCCAAGGACCCCTAGGACTCCTGGGATCTTCCATCACGGGGCCCACAAGGCCCAAACTACTGTCAACATGCTAAGATGTTATTCACTTTCTAAATTCATGAGGCCACAATGGAGTTTTCTATTTCTATTTTCTATCCCAGGACTATCTGAAAAGGCTATTAAAATCCAACCATTTAAGTGTGAATGCTGGGTTTTCTTCACACACTTCAACCAAGACAACATTAACAATATACTGAATAAAGAAACAGCCTCGAGTAGCCAACTGCTTTCTTTCTGTTAAGCCAGACTTGCAAAACTGCAAAGAAACGTCACTTTTCTTACTGCATTTTGTTGTTTTGGAAAATCTGTTATTTTTCATGAAAAAAATGTTACTTATGCTTAACCTACAGTGAGTTAATGATATTAATTCAGTTTTAGTGTCTTATTTGAAAAATGCCAACAGGGACAATTCACTTAACACAAGTTCTCTGGGATCCTCAATAGTTTTTAGCTGTGTAAAGGGGTCCTGAGACCAGAGTTTGGGAGCTGCTGCCCCAAGTGCTCGCTGGGGCCCAGCCAGAGTCCAAGGGCAAACAAGCAGAGCTTTGAATGGATGCAGGGCTACAGACTGAGTTTTGGCAAGGGGCTGCGATGGCTTCTTCCATGGCAGCAAGGTGCATGGAGCCACGTTCTACGGAAAGAGCAAGAGTTTGCTCCAAAGCAATTGGCCTTCTCGCACACTTACTAGGTAATGAGAGATTTAAACAATCATGTTAACATGAAACCGACAACTGATGAGAAAGAGTATAGGCTAAAAACGAAATAGGAAAGAATTCTCTCCAACCTATTTTTAAAAGTGAGAGGAAAATTCATTGAGCCTGTCAGTGTTTTGTTATTATGAATCAGCTATTGATTTTAAGCTGCAGCAGAGAGTAAAACTGCAGACCAGGAAAACAGTAACGTGGACAACCACTAAAAGGAGCTTACCTGATCCACTTGGCTCTTTCCCACACAGACTTTCTGGTGCTGCTGGGATTTCATGCTTTTTCTCTTCCTCGGATGGTACAAATGTCTAAAAATTCCAAAGCACCATAAAAAAGTAAGTTAACTGAGGTTTTGACAAGAGGGCAAGACTAACCTCAAGATAATGAAAACAACTTGCATCTTGTAACAACATAAAAGACGACCTTCAAGTCTGTGCAGAACTGAATGGATACATGCCAAACTTGAAATACAAAGATCAATGTCATCTCATTATTTCATCCATCAATGGCTGTCCCGTCGCTTTAAAAGTAAAACCCCACCTTAATATGACACCCAAGACCCTCCCTGATCATGTCCCTTCCTTCGTCAGGTCTGCGTTTCTGCACCACTGCGGGGCCTGGGACTCACAACTGCCCTCTTGATCCATGTCCAGAAAACACTTCTTTGCCTGCAAGGCTCTTTTCCGTTTCTCTCCCCTCTGGCAAACCTCTACTCTACTTGTAAACCACTCAAATGTCTTCTTTGCAAGCCCTCCTGTCTGTGTCCCCATTGCCCCTGCTGGTAAGCTGAGTCTCCTCTGCGCTGTGCATAGTTCCCGTGTTTACTGCTACCTTGTCTCACACACCTGCAGGGGGCCGCGAGATCAGACTGCAGAGGGGGCGTGGAGATTCCAGTTATATCTTGGAAATGGGACGGGTAAGAACTGGCAATGGATGAAATGTAGGGGGACACACAGAGACTGCGGGTGACTCCCGGTGTCTGGCTTGAGGACGTGGAACTCATGATGGCGGCACCACGCATCTGGATTATTAGCTTTCTTTGCACAGGATATGACAATAACAGCGTGTAAGCGTCCAAAGTACAGTGGGAATGGGAGTCGGGTGATGCTATTAGGACGCACACGTCTAAGGGTGGTGACACGGTACTTACACCGTTTACAGCTCAGGGTAACTGAACTATCACCCATACCTTGGGTTTCGTTTTAGTGGGTTTTTTTGTTTTTAATTTATTTCTGAGAGAGAGAGAGGCAGCATGAGCGGGGGAGGGTCAGAGAGAGAGGGAGACACAGAATCTGAAGCAGGCTCCAGGCTCTGAGCTAGCTGTCAGCACAGAGCCCAACGCGGGGCTCGAACCTACGAACCGCGAGATCATGACCTGAGCTGAGTCAGACACTCAACTGACTGAGCCACCCAGGCGCCCCCTTACCTCGGTTTTCAAGTTGCCTTTTGGTGCCTGTCCTCCCAAAACACTCGATGGAGACTCTTCATTGCCTGAAGAAATTCAAACCATTAGGCCAATTTAAGAATTTGCTTGCAAAAAAACATGATGAATCAAAAGGTAACCAAATACTGGTCCCTAACCTGCCGTGACACCTTCGCCTGCTGTTTTATTTTACTGTCAGGAGAAAACAATAAAAGGAATATGTACGAACAATCTTGGGCGAAAGGCAGGAGTGGTTTACGAAGTTTGGGGGTGAAACTGTTTCTTGCTGTTAAGATGGCTGCCCAGCAAGAATAACAAAGGATTATTTCTGGAGACATGATGTTTCCAAATATTTTTCTACAGTGTTCTGAATCAAGTTTGGGCCTAAAAGAAAATTTTCCGGGCCACTGAGATGTATTCTCAACAAAGAAAATGTTTATGGACAGACTCACTTTGCTGGCCTCACCCTAACACAGTAGAGTCGAAAGTGAAGTTAGAAGACTGTGAGGCAGACAAGAAAATGGCGTTTTCTCTGGTGGAGACTCAATCCTATCCCTGTGGTGACACTGCCTTTCTCTCGCACTTGTCCCTCTGTGACTATGGCCTCCGGTTCCTTCCCACCCACAGAAGTCTCCAAAGAAAACCCTTCCTTTCTCTAAGAGGCTGAGGGCTTTTCCTTGCTAAAACCTCTTCAATTTTTTTTTTTTTTAACGCTTACTCATTTTTGACAGAGACAGAGAGAGGGTGACACAGAATCCGAAGCAGCTCCAGGCTCCGAACTGTCAGCACAGAGCCCGACACGGGGCTTGAACCTATGAACCATGAGATGACCTGAGCCCAAGTCAGACACTCAACTGACTGAGCCACCCAGGTGCCCCTAACCTCTTCTATTTTTGCTCCTTCTGGGAAACAAAAGAGGGGAGAAAGGAGTAACAGATGGTAGCAATGGTTACTACATAAAAATCTGCAGAACACTCCATTTACCCATGCTAAATGCAATGGAAAAATGTCAAGTTCCTTATTTAGACCTCTGAACACTTCTTAATGCCCCATATCTCAAGTCCCTGTAATGAGTGGGACTCGATGTATTGGCCTCAGTTTCCTGAGGCTGCGTTTGATGACATCTATGGGCTGTTCCAGTTTAAAAGTCCAGGACACTGGGGCGCCTGGGTGGCTTAGTCGGTTAAGCGTCCGACTTTCGCTCATGATCTCGCGGTTCGTGGGTTCAAGCCCCGCATCGGGCTCTGTGCTGACTGCCAGCTCAGAGCCTGGAGCCTGCTTCAGAGTCTGTGTCTCCCTCTCTCTCTGACCCTCCCCTGCTCACGCTGTCTCTCTCTCTCTCTCCTAGAAATAAATAAAAAAATATTAAAAAAAAAAAAAAAGTCCAGGACACTACAATTTATACAGAGTAGAAAACAGGACAACGACCCTGATTCCCTCAAGTGCAGCCCACAATGTCCCTTTGAGTTCTCACAGCGTCTAAGCACCTGCAGTCAGAGTGTCACTGCCTACTTAAAACACAAGGCTGGATTCACAGCTACTCCCCATTTTGACGACTTACCTTCGCATCTCCGAAGCCCAGCTCAGTTGTAGCTGACACTGTCCCCAGCTGAATGGCATAGTGAATGATGGAGCCTAAACATTACCCCTTTGAAAGGTACCAAGAGTTTCTACCAAGAGCAACTCTCTGAAATCTGTTGGGGGGGAACAGGTTTCTTCTGGCTTTCAAATTCCAATCCAGAAGCTCATTTTATCTGAACAAAAAACTCAGTTAAAAAATCCTGTGCTCCTCTCCACAATAGCTAAAACAAGGAAAGAGACTAAGTGTCCATCATCGGACGAATGGATCAAAAAGATGTGGTTTATCTATACAATGGAATACTACATGGCAATGAGAAAGAATGAAATCTGGCCATGTGTAGCAACATGGATGGACCTTGAGGGTGTTATGCTGAGTGAAATAAGTCAGGCAGAGAAGGACAGATACCATATGTTTGCACGTATAGGAGGGTTAGGAGGAACTTAACTGAGGAACATGGGGGAGAAGAAGGGGGGAAATGGTGGGGGAAAGGGAGAGAGGCAAACCATGAGAGACTCTTGAATGCTGACAAAAACTGAGGACTGATGGACGTGGGGGGGAGGGGGGATGGGCATGGAGGAGGGCACTTGTGGGGATGAGCACTGGGTGTTATGTGGAAACTAATTTGACAATAAACTATTTGTAAAAAAAAAAAAAGAATAAACAAACAAACAAACAAAATATCCTGTGCTCCCCTGATCACAAGTAGCCAATCGGACTGAATGGACCCTCAGTGCAAGTCCACAGGACTTTAGATGAGAGCTGACTGGCATTTGTTTTTGTACTACTATCGCCATTTTATACAATGGAAAACTAAGACTCAGAAGTAATTTTTTTCTAAGGGGCCCTAAGTACCATGCAAGTCATTTAAACTCTCCAAACCTATTTCCTCATCTGTAAAATGAAGGAGAAACCCGAGATTAAAGCTTTAATAACCTGCAGCAGCCATGCAGGTGACACATGGTGGCTTGCTTCCCTTCCCCAGCTTTCTGCCTCTGCTCTCCTGGCACATGAGAAATAGGTCTATGCTTTTAAGTTTTGAAACCCACGTTTCCAAGCTCAACCTTCCCATTTGAGAAGTTATTTTCTGACATTCTGGAACCAAAATCACCTTTTGGAAGATGGTTTTAAACATATCCTACGTGCAGCCACCTTTGTAAAATGCTAAAATGTGCCACAGGGAGAGAGAGTCTCACCTATATTGTGCAAAGTTCCTTCAGGAGGAACAGTGACCTTGAGGTCTCCTTCCTCTTGGAATGACTTCCTTATGCCATCATCATCTCCTGCCTTCTCATTGGACCCCTGGACTGTCCGTCTGCCATTGCAGTCACTTGTCACAGTCAGGTCTTGCTCATGTTTTAGAGCTGACAGAGCCACATCACAGGCAGCTGGAAGAACCGCCACGGGGGAAGGACCAGTTTCTGATTCTTGGCCATTAACACATTCAGTGGTGGTTTCCGCAGGGTCCACGGATGCACAGTGCCCGGGAGAGGGTGACCTCGCAGCAGGGTCTCCTGCAGGGGGCGCACCCTCGGCTCTCTCGGCACCAAGACTCATTGCCGCCAAGCGGTGACTCCTAGGGGAGGGGTCCTCAGCTGTCCGCCTGGCCGTCTGCTCCTGTCCCCTCCGATCCTCGGGTAAGCCAGTTCCCCTCTGCTCACCCCTCCCTGCCCAACAGGCGTGGTGCCCGGCCGCGGCTGCCCCTTGGGCCCCCTGTCCTCTCTGAACGGAGCCTGGCCACATGCTCCTCTCTGCTGCATCGACGAGGTGTGAAGAGCCCTCGCTCTGTTCCATCACTGCTGGTGGCACCTCGCGGGGACCATCCTCGGAGCCCGCGGCTCTGGCCCCCGCCGGTGGCGCGGGGTGTGGAGGGCTGCTTGTCGCTATCGGGCTGGGCACTGGGGCCTCCGCCTGGCTCTTCCTGGCAGCTGACGGGTCATCTTTTCCATAGAAGACACGGGCGGTCAGCTGGCTCTCCTCGTGCCTGTCGAGGCCGGCGGGCGCCAGCACGCACTCGGCCGTGCTGGTGGAGATGATGGCTGCGTCGCTCGAGTCCTCTGTCCTCACGGTGGCGGGCCCTTCGTCGTCTTGTAGGCCAGCGCCCCTCATGGCCGCCTCGCGGCCTTCGGAGGTGCTTGTGGAAATCATGGCGGTGTCACCAATCTCCTCCGCTCGCGTGGCCGAGGGGTGGCTTTCCTCCCGCGGGGCGGCGCTGGACACGGGGCCCTCGCAGTCCTCCCCCGAGCTGGTGGAGATGATGGCGCTGCCGTCCTTCTCTTCCGGGCCAGCGGGGGGCCGTGCGCCTGCCACGGAGGCCTCGCACTCCTCTGCTATGCTGGTGGAGATGAGCGCACACTCGTCTTTCTCCTCCTTGCTGGTCGAGGCCAGGGGGCTTTCGGCTACTGCGGGTGCGCTGGGCATGGGCCCCTCGAAGTCGTCGGTGCTTGCCGAGCTGGCACCTCTCGCGCCTCCCTCCACCGCGGCCACCGGCGGCTGACTCGCAGCACACACAAGGGTTGTTGCGCTGGAAACGGGCACCTCGAACTCCTCGCCTATGCTCGTGGAAATCATGGCACACTCGTCTTTGTCCTCGTTTCGCACGGCAGCCAGCTGGCTCGCATCGGACACTGCACTGGGCATGGGGGCCTCGAATTCTTCCCCGCTTATGCCCGCACCTTCCACATCTTCCCCAGTTCTCGGTGCGCTCGAATGACCCTCCTGTACGTCTGCCACTGCGCCTAGCTGAGGGGTGTAATCGTTTGTTGTGCTGGTGGAGATCAGCAGGCCTTTGCCCGGACTTTTGCCCCCAGCGACACAAGCTTGCTTGGTGACAGCGTCCCTGGCTGTAGTGGCCATAAGGCCATCACATTCTTCGTTTTCCACAGAGGTGATGATGGCTTCATCTTCTTTCCCACCGGGTGACATGTGCCCGGCTTCACACTGTGGGTCCGCACCCGGCCCAACTACCTCAGAGCTGCCCCCCACCATGCCAGCGGAAGCAGTGGTATCATCCACCTTTTCTTTTCTGGCGAGTGGACTGTCACTCTGACCTGAAGCTGCGCTCATCATGGGAGCCTCGTGACCTTCGGGAACTGGTGCCACTTCAGCCTTCCCCGAAGCCGCACTGGTCACGCTGCTTTCTACGATCCCTTTGGCGCTGGAGCAGATCTCCGGCTCCTTCGGGCCCTTGTCCACACTGCTCATGCTGTCGAAGCCGCTCTCGTTGGTATTAGTGACAGCGGCTCCGGCCTCGGCTCCTATGCGCCCTGCCGCGGTCCCAACCTGACTGTCCCCTTCTTCGGCACTTCCACAAATCGATACTCCTTCGCTCTCATCCTCCGCCCCAGTGCAAGTGGACGCGTGCCCGACTTCATTTCCCCGTCCCGTGCTGGTCACCACACCTTCACCTTCCTCGTCCTCCTCTTTTGCACCGGTGCTGGTGACAACGCCTTCGTCGTCACATGGGCCAGTGGCGACCAGCATCACAGTAGGGCCTTCGCTGGCTACCGTGCTGTCCATCGCGCTCTCTCCATTTTCTTCCGATTCGGAACTCAGAGCAAAGCCCTCGCTGCCCTCTTCCGAGCCTGTGCAGCTCGCTGGCCCCTCTCCATCTTCTTCTGTTATCCCCGTGCTGGTGACGGCACTTTCACCTTCTGCACCATCATTCACAGAAGTGTCTCTTTCCTTGGGGGCACTGGTTCCTGGCGGCACGTCGTCGCCCACCAGGGCCGCTTCCGCACCTGTAACCACTCGCTCCTCCTGTCGCTCTGCACCGGTGACGGAGCACACGGCACAGGCAGCGCTGCTCCTTTCCGCTCCGGTGCACGTCACGGTCCCCTCCGTTTCTTTTTTGGGGCCCATTCTCATCACATTTCTCTGGAACCCATCCACCTCCTCACTGCTTATGGAGCCCTCCCTTATTTCTGTCCCAGCACTTGTCACCGCACCATCACTTTCGACCTCACTGATAAAGGTGGGTGCTCTTTCTGCCATTTCCAAGTCACTACGCGAAGAACCGTCACACTTTTCTTCAGAGCCGGCGCTGGTGACAGCATCATCTTTCTCTTCTGTCACCTCACTATTGACACTGTCTTCAACTGTCACTGTGTGAGCAGTCATGGGGTCTGCTGCCCTTTCTTCAGATTCAGCCATGGCACACTCTCCACTCTCTCCCTCCTTGGTGCTTGTGAGGAAGGTTTCACTTTCAGCAAATCCTTCCGTGACAACACCTCCACCCTCTTCGGCTGCTGCAAAGACAGTGTATTCGCTGGCTTCTGCCCCAACGTGAAGAGGATGGTTTCCAGAGCAGGCACCTGCTACAAAGCCTTCGTCTGCCTCAATGCTCATGCAGGGCACAGGCACCTCACCCTCTCCTGTTTCCGAGGAAGTGGTTGTAGCATCCCCCGCCTTGACGGTATTGGAGGGGACGCCTTCGTCCTTCCCTTCAGAACTAGTGGCAAAAGAAGACTTTTTTGCCCCACGAGACCCAGCTGTCACATCCTCAACATTTCCACTCCGTTGCTGAGAAACTGAGGAAGCGGCATTACGGCCAGCACTGGTGTCCACCTCATTGTTTTCGGTCCTTCTGTCAACATCAACTGCTGTGCTTTCTGTTTCACCTGGGCCACTACTACACTTGAGCACAACCGTCTCAGCCGCTTTTTCTGTCCGCATGCCGGCTACCGGGTCAACAGTGATACCATGCTTTTTGCCATGTTCTAGCACAGCTCTTGTTGTCTGCTTTGGACTGGGATCTGTGCTTAAGTCACCTTCTGTCTTGGCCATGTCCACCAAGCCATCTTCTTTGTTAACATTCTCACTTTCCATCTTCACGTCTGTTACCTTGCTACCAACAGACATGTTTACTTTTTCCTGCTTACTGTGCAGCACAGCGGGCTGGCAACCTTCTGGAATGTGTCTTTTGCTATCCGTGCTAGCTTTTGCTGGCGTATCTATGGTGGAAACTGCCCCACTTTCTTTGCTGTCACTTGTCCTAAGGACTTCTGATTCGCCAGCAGACAAACTTGGGTTAGGAATAACGAGGTGCTTCACAAGTGAGGTGCTGGCAGGGCTGCCTTCTAAAGCAGTCCCCTGGGCCACCAAAGTACTTACATCTGAATTGGGGGACTGTTTCGTAGGCACAACAGCTACTGAACTCAAGGATGGTGAACGATCTAGATTTGGGGAATGTTCACGCCCAGCGTCTCCTTGGGCAACATGTTCTTGGGTGGGTCTGGTTGTATTTTTCAAATTCTTTTGTGCCCTGTCATTTTCTGACGGGGCTCGAGGAAACGGTCTAGGACTAGTGTCAGAGTCTCTACTCATGTCATGAGTTCCCTGGTGAATGGGCTCTTTCTCCCCGGGGTTCAGTTTGGATATAGCGCTTTGGATATGCAACTTCTTGGTCAGGGGGCTTTTATGGTCAGCGTGCTTTTCAGAATTACTAACAACTCCTGTTCCGCGTCCTGATTTACAGGTCGGAGCTACCGATTTTGAATCTGCTGTGGAAGTTCTTAATTCATCCTTTAGAACCGGGACCGCGTTTTTTTGTTTCATGATGTTTTCAGAATCAAGGTCTTGCTGAGAACTAGTATTGCTGTTGTCTTGGGTTTTAGATGCTTCAGACACGTTTTCAACAGCTGGCTCAGAATCAATTTCCATCGGCTCTTGTTCAGGCATTGATGTGGTGTCACCACTCTTTTTTGGTCTCTGAATGGAGGAACTATTGGTGGTGCCCAAGGTGTTTGCTGACCTTTCATCTCCTTTGGTCATGTCCTGGGATAAGCTTACTCTTCGGTTTTCACACAATTTTCTACTCAATTTCTTTTCTATAACCGAACTATTCCCTCTGGCCTTTTCATGATTACTGTCAACTTCTTTACCATCCTTGTCATCTGATTTATTTTCTTCCTTTTTCCTCACTTCCTTACTGCTATGCTTTAAGCTTCTGCTTTTGTGCCCATCTGATAACTTCCTCTCAGGTCTGGAGGGGCCTGACTCTTTTTCAGCCTTGTATTTCTCCTTTGCTAATGGTAACTTGGTTCTGTGACTGGAAGGGTCTTTCTGTATGCCCTGTGCTGAAGAAGCGGCACTGTCCGATACAGCTTCAGCGCCAGTTTCCTCAGAGGGTTTGTCTTCAACTTTCGACTTCCGCTGTCTGTCTGGGTTGATCTCTTCCATGCTCTTCTCCTTATCTGGTTTTGGAGTGGTCACCTGTCTTGTGACACTTTCTTGTAATTCCGTTTCAATGACTTTCAACTGTTTGCCTTGACTTTTTGGTTTCGACTTTAACAGAAGCTTCTCTTCCAGCAAGCTCTTTGTTCTTCGTTTCTCCCTGTGAACTATCTCTTCTGGTTTTGAATTACTATCTACGTTGGTTGAGTCCATATCACACTTGTCCTCTGAATAACTTTCGCATCTTCTCTGTAATGGGGTTCCGTGCTGCTTGGAACTCAGAGACTCTTTCTGAATTTTAGAATCACTGGATCTCCTTGATTTGTGTTCTGCTTTAGTTCTTTCGGCTGACACATGTCTCTCTTTTTTGTTGTTTTCTTTACGAACATTCTCATCTGTTTTTATGATATATTCAGAAACTGGCTTTCCATCTTTGCCTAAAATTGATAATTTCCTTTCATTCTTATGTTTACTTTTTCGTTCAGTTTTATCATCTGAAGAAAGTTTTGCTTGTTGACTTTGCTTTTGAGCATTTTCATCCACTTTTAAGCTTTTCTCAGAAGAGTGAAGCTCTGTCTCATCACTTGTTTTGTGCAGACTGTCGCCTTTATATTTATGTTTCGTAGACAACTTGTCTTCTGACAGAGTCTTCTCTTTTTCAGGCTTCTCCTTTGAGGACTTTGCTTCTTTCTTAGGTAGGCTTTTCACATGTGGGGTTTCAGAATCATCTTTCTTCAGATGCTTTTCGTTTTTAAGTGTGCTCTTCTGTTTCTGGGGCTCTTCGGTGCCAATTTCTGACCGTTCCACCTGCCTTTTCCCATCTCTTGAGTCAGCCTCTTCCTGTGCCCCCTCCTCCACAACGGGGGTAGATGTGCGTCTTCTGTGCTCCCGCTCTATCTTGGACTCATTTTTGTTTTCATCAGCTGAATGCAAAGACTCGGATAGTCTCCGGGCAGGTTTACTTGGTTCGCTTTTTGCATGAACGTGCTTTAGGTCCTTTGAAGAAGACACTTTCTCCTTTTCACCATGCTGTAAGAAAATAAAAGGCAAAATATGAGCAATACTAAACTCAAATTTCATGTTTGGGAACCCTGGATATGCTGAGTGCAGTCACGTGTTAGATGTCACTTAATCTTGCCAGCAGCCTGTGGTGGGTACTGGTGACCTCATCTGATGCATCAGGAAACTGAGGCTCAGCGTGACTTGTAACCTTATCCCCAGGCAGCGACTTCAGATGATCTCATTAGCAGTCTAGGGCTCTTCCCAGAGAACCACAGACATCTGTGCAGAGACTGGCTATTTCTCCTCAGGCCTGTCCCTGCATTTGGGGGGCCTTTACCTCCAGACTGTTAAAGCTCACTAATACCCAGGAGCCACTAATAAATATAAGCTGCGTGAATGACAGCCCGATGTTTTTCTTAGCCCTAAAACATAATACCTGATAATGAAGACAATTTAAAAATTTGATACAGAAATAAAGGTATCCTACATTTTAATTTAGGAGCCTGAATTACTTATGGAAACCTCATGAATTCAGGCTCCTTAAAGGCCATTCTACTTAGGAAGTTTCAAATGCACACAACATCTGTAGCAGTGGCTGTATCACATATGGAGCACGTGTATGTTTATGCATCGGAGGAAGACAATGGTGGACCAGAGCATCCAACCCTTCCTCCCTGTCCCACAGTATGGCACTGAGTACATTACTTGTTAGTCCATGAATGCAGACCACACACACTTTAGTACAGTCTCATGAACCACCACCTACAATTTCTTCTTCAGATAACGGGCTGAAGTTCTCAGAAAGATCTCTGTGTCTCCGGGTTAGTTTATCACTGCACCTTCTTACAATTTAACACAAAGATTAATGCACTTCTACAGATTCAGGGAGTTGGACATAGCAAGATCTTAAAAAACTCTGTAAAATGAAATTCTTAAAAGAAAGAACAGAACTAAAACCTAATTTTATAGTAAGCTTCAACCAGTTTATGTGAACAAAATTTTATGAAGTCATTTTTAAAAGAAATTTATCACAAAATGAAGTTAAAATATTTTAAAGTATGCTGTTAAAACATCAGGATATACTTATAAATATGCCTCTAATTTCTGGATAAAGAAATCAAGATGATTTGTTGGCTATGAATAAATAATCACTAAATTATTAGTCTTCCCTTGGAAATGTTAAGGTAGTTTCAGTACAGGGGTGCTTGGCTGGCTCGGACAGCAGAGTGTGACTCCTGATCTCAGGGTCATGAGTTCGAGCCCTAGACTGGGCATGGAATCTGCTCAAAAGAAAAACAAAAAACAAAAAACAAAATTTGGCTATCGAATGATAAATATAGCAGGGTAAATAAGGACTTAAAACCAGTGAAAGCAAAAGTTTACTCCAAGGAAATAATCCAAACAGGAGAAAAATGTATTCATCAAATGTATTTTCACTACTTAAATCGATCAGGTCTTGGAAGTAATCCAAGTGCTCAACCCTAAGGGAATGCTTAAATTATGGTCTATCTATTCAATACAACACTATGCAATCATTAAATATAATAACTAGAAATTTACAAGGTAACATGAAATGAGCAAGAGGGAATGTTAAAATCATTTTGCAAGATTACACCCATTCTACAGAATTACGTACACTTGTGGAGGAATGCAAGAGAATGAACTGGATAATCTGCCCTGGAGAAGGGGTTTTAGCTTCCCCTTTTCCTTTTAACATTATCATTACTGGCAATTTTGTTGTTGCCAGTATAAGAATTAAGGGTGGAGGGTGGGGAATGAGGGAAAGGAAAGTGGAAAAGTAGCTATTACCTGGATAAGAGATCACATGAATCAACTGGTCAAAATGAGGAAATCGGGTCATAATAGGATGGGGGTTCAAGAACGCTGAAGGCGATGGATTTGTTTCTTTAACTTGGAAAAGGTCAAACTGCATTCCAAGTTGTACTCCAAAGGACTGAATGGCCTAACACAAAAGCACTTAAAATGGATTTTATTAATTAAGACACACCTCGCTTGTCTTGAGAGTTTCTTTGGAATCTTCTTCAGATTGCTGTTTCTTTTTAGAATTCTCCTCAACATTCCTAAGTGGGAAGAAAAAGTCATATATGAACTTTAGTTGAATCAAATATAAGAATTTCTCAGTAAGATTAATTACTGATTCAGCTATCTCAAAGCCTATGACAAACGTACATAATTCCATCTTTACTGTGGCCTATGGCTTGCAGGCCTTCAGGCCACTTTCTGAGTCTCTTCAGCTTTCTAATTCTTACAGAATTCACTACAATCATGCAATGACAGATAATCATTTAGTTTAGAACCTGGTTTATTAGGGAGAAACATGAGACACTGTTGAAGGGAATGCCTAGCAAGACTGGAAAATGGAAGCAGTCACTGTAAAAAAGTGGTAATTATTAAGTGGCTACAGTAGGGATACTTTCTGAGTATTCTCCAGGGTCCATAAACTCTATGAAACTCTAGAAACAACTGTGTGTTGATACACGTGCATCTTTCTGGGGAGATCAAAGACTGCAGTCAGATTATAAAAAAGTTCTGGGACCTCTTCCCCCCAAAATATTAAAACATGCTACTTTACAACCTAGATATGAACACAATGAACCAGGATATAAAAGGTTCTGAAACCCCACAATTTTCATAAATGAGAAACAATACCACACTTTCAAGGTGAGGTTCTTTCCTGTCACTGCCAATGCCTCTCTTCTGAAAGCATGCCAGGGGAGAGTTGTAATGAGAACGCTGCCAGACAAAACACGTACCTTGAATCTTTCTTTCTTTTTTTGCTTAAGGCTACTTTTTTCTCTAAAACTTTCCGTTCTTTAAGGACTTCTTTAATTCTGGGGGTTTTAGGCTCCAAACTCGTTCCTGATGATTCTTCTAAGTCCACACTATTTTTGCCTAGGAAAGAAGCAATACCAATAAGCTGTACTTTAGAACGGAATTTATAAACAGCGTAATATTTAATTTTCATGGAGATTTTTGGATCAGTGTAGAAGTGTTGAATGGCTTACTATCCTTAAGTTGTGCTAGAAGAAAGGAAATAATTTAGATGGACAAGTCTTAGCTTTTTTTTTAACTTTCAAATGCCTATATGTGTGTGTATGTTTTTGTATATTACACAGAATCAGTGACCAGAGAAAGTTCAATTTTGTTCAATGAAATATTCCAGATAAATGTTTGGCACTTCAGTTAACGTAAAGCACAGATTAATTCTACTAATGTCACCAGCAAGGCTTGATTACTCACATCTAACAATCCATTTTCCAGTGATAATTCATTACACAATTGCTGAAAATAAACTGCTAATGAAAGTTGTATAAGTTGGTACCTGACAGAATGTTTAACTTAGACACAGCAATATAATTTAAAAACTGATACATCAGATTAAAAAAAAAAACTTCCATACCTAAAAATAATTTTTTAATACAACAGCTTTATTGAGATGCAATTTAGATCATTTTATATCGTCTCATAAGTAATATGAATATCTAGAAAATAATGGAGGACACAAGAGAATTTAAAATATTAAAGTTGACACTTCTATACCTTGACTCTTAGCTTTTGAAGACTTTGTCTTTTCTGCTTTCTGCTTTCGTTTTTCTTCAAGTTTCTCTCTATTAATTTGCCTTCTTAAAAGCCTCTCTTCTTTTTCTTTAGCCTAAAACCACAAAATATTCCCAATTATCCTTACCAACTATTAGGCAAAAGCAAAAACAATGAAAACAAATATGTTTATCCTTCAAATATTCTTACAAAATAATGGGTTGCATATACATTACACAATTTGGAAGCTACCAGAAGAGACAGATATGAGAATTTTCCATTACTCTTTCAGATTGCCATTAGTTTAAAGAATGGGAAAGGCATCATTTTGGGAAATGGCGGTTTAAAAAACCAGTTACTTCAATTAAAAGGAACCTGTGAAAATAAATATGAACATCATTGTACATGATATACACACAGGCAAATCTCCATAATTTTTAAATTATTCCAAAAGGAGAAAGCTGAAGTACAGATTCAAGAGATAGGCTTGTCCTACAACAAATATGACTTCCTGGTTATGCTCTTGGGACCCAGGTTTTGGACAGGGGATTTTCTGCTGTCCTATTTTAAAAAAACAAGGGGCACCTGGGAAGCTCAGTCAGTTAAGTATCCGACTTTGGCTCGGGTCATGATCTCACAGCTTGTGAGTTTAAGCCCCGCGTTGGTCTCTGCCCTGATGGCTCAGAGCCTGAAGCCTGCTTCCGATTCTGTGTCCCTGTCTCGCTCTGCCCCTCCCTTGCTCATGCTCATGCTCTCTCTCTCTCTTAAGCATAAATTTAAATAATTAAAATTAAAAAAAAGTAAAATAAAAAAACAAGAATCCAGTCATTGTGGGTTATTCCCACCACCCTTTCCAGCAAGAACTCACAGTTTTGGCACTCAAAGTGCCAAAAACTCAAGGCATAGGCATAGCCTCCGATGAAGCAAACTTCTCAAGAGATAAGCCACTATCTATCAGCATTTCTACTTCCTTCAAATGGTTGTCCAAGTAACAGGACACTCTATTTCCTCAATCTAAGATGTACAACTCCTTATTTTAATGTTTCTAAAACTATAAGTCATCTTAAAACTGATGTACACATATGATGAGTATGATGAGACACCAAATTTTTTCTCTAAGAAGCTGTTAATAATCCAATGACACATCTTGTACCTGGGAAATTTGTAGACTGCACTTCTCTTTTTGAAGAAAAAAATTTTTAATGTTTATTTCTAAAAGAGAGAGACAGCAAGTATGAGCGAGGGAGGGGCAGAGATAGATGGAGACAGAATCTGAAGCAGGCTCCAGGCTCTACGCACAGAGCCCAACCTAGGGCTCGAGCCTACAAGCAGCGAGATCATGACCTGAGCTGAGGCCAGACCCTTAACTGACTGAGCCACCCACCTGCACTTCCCTCTTAATACTATGCCAATGGGTCCTATCTCTGTACAGCTCGATCCACACATGATTCAAACACTTCCATACTGTGAAACACTCGTTGCCTGTTTTTCACTATTAATTACAACGACACGAACACCTATGTCACGTGTTTATGTCTGTTCTGCCTAAGTGACAGGTTCCTGAAGGCAGAAGCTCCATGTCATGGTTCCGTCTGCTGCCCAGTACCTTGCACGCAGACCAGCCGGGTCTGTCAACCTGACATAACAGGTTAAAACAGTGACAGATCAAATGTGACTCACAATAGACTGGCGCCGTTGCTCTACGGTAAGCTCGTCATCGGAGTCACTGTAATACTTTGAGTAAAGATACGGTTTGTGAACGTAAGCATGCCGCACGCTTTTTGCTTTTCCTTCACTGGGCTCACTGGTTTGAGTTTTTGCTTTGTTCTGCTTGTTCTTTTCCTCATCTGGAAGAAAGCCAATAGAAAGAGGAGTACTTCTGTGAATTACCAATAAAATCAACAGCACGCTTGATCAACATCAAGCAGCAAAAGCAGTATGGATATAGTTCAAGTGCATTTGTCAGTCCAATGGGAAATATCAGGATGCAAAAAATCAGCAGTGAACAGTTTTAAAGGCTATAACCCATAACTAAATGTACTTCTTCCAATTAGCTTCTCACACATAAAGAAGACAAAAAAATTAGACCCTCTCACTACCATTCATGGTTTCTTGACAAATAGTTAATTCTCATTTGTATGTCAGGGCATTGGTATGGACTTGGCTTTACCACTGTAAAACTGAACAAGGTCACCTGAACCTACACTTTAAAATACGCTTGAGATTTTTTTTTTTTTTTTTTGAGATTTTAATGACCACCTGAGAGTCTCATTTATGCAAGTGGCAAGAGTCAATAACTGGCCCCCACCAAGTATATACTACAAGCCCTCTGCCGTAGGAAGGTGCGTATGTTTCCCCACGAAACAGCAAGTAAAGTAGAAAACTTGTGAACGAGGCCTTCACTTCTACCACGTAGTACCCTCAGAATAGTCACCTTCTTACTTTTTGGATCTCATACGTATAAAACCTAGTCCAGTCTAGGAAAAAACTTGAAAAGCCCCACAGAAGCACCTAGAAGACAAGCTGAGTTAGGCTTCAGAAAGTGCAGCGCTCACAGGAGTGGCAGCCATCCCACAGAGGGCCTGCGGAGCTGACCTCATGACGAGGTATGAAAAAGGAGTGAACGCTGACGCTGACTTCTGGGCTGCTCATTTTGTTTTCAGGGTACTAAGAATGCAAACTGGGATGGACTGAAACATACATGTGTGGAATTAAAAGCTTCTACTTTTTCTCTGCTAGGATTTTCTCTCTAGGTGTTCTACCCAAAAGCCAATGGCTAATTTATAAGATGCTACTTACAAGTAGTTGCAAATAATCTGATTTTTAAAAAAGGTCATAAGCAGAACTTAATCACGTCATACAGAGCAGCACAAAGTGCTGGTCAGAACACTAGATGAGGGCTGAAATTGGCACTGGCGCTCAATGGTTGCGTGACCCTGGACAGGACACCTTCTCTTGGTGACTCTGTTTCCTCACCTGGACCTACTTCCCAGGACTGCTGAGGATTCCAGGAGCTAGTACACAGAACAGTGTACAGTAAGTGCTTAGTAAGGGTTGGGTGAGATTAACAAACTCTACAGAGAAGTATGGTCTTGCCCGTACCTTCTGGGAGGTAATCTCTAAGTCTCTAGAATGTCGTGTCTGACAGGAGTGTTTGTTTGCCTGCGGGTCTTGGTTGAAGTTAAATCAACTCACAGCATGACCTGGGTCAGTAGCTTTGGGTCATGGCATGTCAGCCTAACCTCTGGAGGGGCTGGAGACTAAGAGCTGACACTACGTCTATATGATGGAGCCCAGGTAGAAATTCTGGACATCAAGGCTCATGCGAGCTTTCCTGTTTGGCAATTAGCCATATATATTGTCTGACATCAATGCCAGGAGGGGAGTACCCTCCGTGACCCCGCAGGGAAAGGGCGCCTAGAAGCTCCCTGGACACTGGCCAACGTGCCTCTTCCCTTGGCTGATCTGAATGTGCATCCCTTAGCTGTAATAAATGATAACCACGAAGCTTTCGGTGAGTTCTGGGAGTCCTCCTAGAGAATCGTCAGGCCTAAGGGTGGGCTTGGAGACCTCAAATTTGGAAATGGTGTCAGAAGTGAGAGCAGTCTTGTGGCCCATGCTCCCCCAACAACACCCATACAAACCCAGACATAGATCACCCCCCAGCACCGTTATACGCTGTCTCCTCTACATCTTCTAATAATCCTGAGGGATGGAGTTTAAGGATAGAGAACCAAGGCTGGGTGAGTAACTTACCAAGCTTGCTCAGACAGACAGCCTCGGAGCTGGGACTCAGAAACACTTCTTCCAACTACAAAGGCCCATGCTCTTGCTACTATACCAACCACACTGTCTTTCACGAGAGCCATCTGAATATACAAATATATACAAATAATGCTCTACGGGAGGCTTCACAGAGGCATTATTAAGTAAAATGCTTTACCATCTGACGTAATCTCTCCTTCTTCCATGCTATCAGACATTACAACTTCTTCCTCGGTGTCTTCTTCAAAGGATGAAAGGTCACTGGTATGGACAGAGCTAACGGTGATGTCTGTAAGTCCATCCACATCAGAATCTATCAAGGAGCAATCTTCGAGAAGGAAATAAAACATGAAGATAAATCATGTTATAAGCACAAATTCAGCATCCAATTCCCAAGTTACGTTTAAAATTTTCTGCATTAAGTACATGCCAAAGTTCAACTCTAGAAATACAAGTTTCTCTCTCTCTCTCTCAAAAAAAAAAAAAAAAGGCATTAAGTATTAAGGAAGAGCTATTTAAGAAAATACAAAGGCAAACTAGTATGCTGTAAAAGTAACTATTAGTTTATGATATAAATGACATACACAAAAGCAAATGTTAAGTAAATGAAATATTTACTAGTATTGTAAGGATCAGGATTTGCAAGTATGAATTAAGTTGCTTGGAATAATAAATGCACATAAATTACAAGAGGTAAATTCTAAGGTTGAGAGTTTCTCTGCTCATTGACTATGTGAACCAATACACTAGCATAGAAAAGAAATATACAAATGTTTATTCTTCATTTTTTAGTAAAGGGGATATGAGTTTTCAGGCTTTTGAAGCCCCCTTGGACCCCCGCAATTAACTCTTTGATCTGTAAACTGCTGTAGATTTTTGCAAGCTTTTATATACCTTCTTTTGTGCCTTCAATGGTTTTAGCTTTATTACTGTTCTTTTCTGAAGGGAGTTTTGAACACTCTACTTCTTTTTCCTTTGTTTGCTTTTCCTCTTTCACTTTTTGTAGGTCCTCACTCCTTTTTGAGTGATCAAACTTCTTTTCGGTCTTTTCCTTCTTTTCTTTTTTTCTTTCTCCTTTGTCATTGCTCTCTGGTTTCTTTTCACCTTTGTCAGCTGATTTATTTTTTTGGTCAATGCTTTCCTGTGGAACATCCTTATTTAGCAGAACTGAACTATTACTCTCTTTTGTGTGATTTTTAATTTCCTCAACTGGACAAGGGAGATCATTGAATTCTTCAGACTTAGGGGCTGTTTCCTGTCCCTCCCCTGTGGGGTCGGGTGTAGACTTCTCTCTGTCCGCCGTGTCCTCTGCAGTTCTCTCTTTCTCGGCACTAGCATCAGTGCTCGGCTGTGATGGGAGTTTTTTGGATACTCTCTCACCAGCCTTGGTGTTTGATGTTTCTGTCGAAGCTCTGGCTGCACTAGCTTCTTGGTTAAGAGAAGTTATGGTTTCCAAGATGGACATGGCATCGTTGGCTACATTAGCGCTCGGTCCAGGCACTGGGACACCTTCGAGGGAAAGACGAGTGTTAGAAAAACCTTATGCAGAAGGCAAGCCTCTCTGCTGAGTCAATGCTACAAGCCATTGGCATCTGTATAAGACACGTAAGCTGTGCAGACCATTCACATTCCTTTAGACTTTCAGACATCAGTGCCAACATGAGCACATTCTAAATCCTCTCCTGTTCTAATCCTGTATCACAGGAGAGGCACCATGCAAATCTGAGAACAGTCTAATTCTCTTTAGTCTTAAAAATTATTCCCTCTATTGAAATACACACTCACAGAGCCAACACATTAGAAAAATACTTACTATTTTGCATTAATCTAAAAAAGAAATGTTCTATCAGTTGAGGAATGTGATATTTAAAGTCACTATCATTTCATTAGTGTAGCCAAGGAACCAAATCTATAATTGTATCCTTAACTTGATACTCAGTTCAAGAAGCAAAGGGAAGGAACTGACCAAGAGGAAAAGGAAAGCACCTTGTGTAATGATGGAAGAGTCTGGTTTCTCCTCATCAGGGGCTGTGCTGCCACTTGCCTCCTCTTTGTGGTTTAGGGTAGCCAAAAACTCATGCACAGCTTTCTCCACCTGAGGTCTGAACGTGTGGTTGATCTTTGGATCCACAACCTGAGAAATAATTCGGTCAATCCCAGACTCCAACATTCCTGATCTGAAACACAAATAAGTTTTATAGAAAGGTAAAAAACAATTTCATATTACTTACATTAACTGCTTTTATGTAAAATTGTCCCCATCACATACATGTTCAATCTGAAATTGCCCAATCCACTCACCTCAATATACGGAAAGAGTAGGCAAAGGGAAAGAAGTTTCACACGAAGTGGCGTTTAGATATAATCACAGTGTCAGAAAGACTATACACTTTTTACTAGCATTGCTGCTAGTGGAAATACTAAAGCAGACAAAACAAAAAACCAAACACTCTTGAATCTAGACACAATACTCTAACTAGAGCCTACACTGACAGGTGATGCTTACCTTACCCCCACCCTGACCAGGGCATATAGGGATAAATGATCACTAAAACTGAGTTCTGGGTATAAAATAAATCTATGGACTCCACAAAATTTTTTTAACAGAAAAATGTATGCCTTTTAGAAGTATGAGAATATCCAGGAAAACTGAGGAACATATAAAGACTGTAATTTCATCAAACTTCTAAAACAAAACAAAGAAAGTAAACTCTAGAAAAATAAAGAAAAGAAACTTAAGACTTCTCGCTTTCTTTTTATTATCTTCCTGCTCTAAAAACTGATGATCTGTGCATTCGACAATTGTGTCACGAGTGTCTTCTCCATGACAGGCACCACTCTGGTTATTGGTCTGTTACAAATCAGACCTGGCTCCTGGTCTGCGGGGGAGACAGACATGATTGAAATACCTGATGGCACTACAACACGCCATCTATTCTTGGAAAGAGTGGAATAAAGAAGTATTAAATACGTTTAAGATAATTTGGGAATGCTTCACAAAGAGAAGACACTTGCACTGAGTCCTGATGTCCACAGAAGCAAAGAGGAAGCAAGAGCTTAGAAAAATACACACAAGAGAAAGAGGAGCACAGGGTGGTAACAGAGACTGAAATATGCAGAAAATCACAAAAGTAAAAGAAAAGTACATGGATTTATTTTACGAAACGCACTGCAACCTCGTTTCTTCCTAAAACAAAACAAAACCGACCACCTGAGGAGTCAATGTTTCTGGATAGAGTTGGAAGAGCCGGAGGCTGGTCTCTTCCAGCTTCTAGGCCTCAGCTCTCTCTGCAGAACTGGGGAGGCAACTGTCCTTACACTTGACAATGCTATTTGAGTGCAGCTCTTTTTGAGTAGAGGATGGATTTGATTTCCATTTTCTGAGGTGCCTTGCAGCCTTGTGATACTATAATTCTACTTATGTGGGCCATAGAGAAAAATGAGTCAACGCCGTACAAAGTAGGTAACCTGCTTTTTAAAGTTCTAAGATTATAAAAAAAAGAAAAAAAGCAAATCCTGCAAACACTGTTACATGTTAGAGGTGCCCTGAAAATGCAGCAGGTGTAAAAGAAACAAGGACGAACAACTTTAAAAATGTTTTCAGGCACAATAGAAAGGCGTAGCGTAAAAAATAAAACCCACCCACCCTAACATTACTGCTGCAGCCGCGTGCTCTGCCCTTATTCTGGGCCCTGGTCTATTTCAGTCTAGTCTCCCACTGAAGGCAGCTCTGATCTTAAATGCAAGTGCAGGCCAGTCCTAACGACTGACCACACTCTAGAACAGTGTGGTCCCAGTGTGGTCCCGGCAGCCTCCCCAGAGGGAGACGCTACAGCTCTGGACTCAAGGGCAAAGCCGAAATGCCAGCAGGTGGTATTTTCCTGATTAAAGCTACTACCTTATCCTTTTAAAGTCTGCCCAGTTAAGATCATTATTTAGAGCTATCTAGCATTTTAGATTCTGTTGTTCAAATGAATGCATAAAAAGAACATTACTGAGGGGAGTCTGGGTGGCTCAGTTGCCTAAGCATCTGACTCTTGATTTGGGCTCAGGTCATGACCTCACAGTCGTGAGATCGAGCCCCATGTCGGGCTCCGTATTGAGCATGAAGCCTGCTTGGGATTCTCTCTCTCTCTCAAAATAAGTACACATTAAAAAATAATACTATTGAGTCAGAAGATCAATTATTAAGTTGAACCATTCGAAAGTGAGGTATTTTTGTCTTACAAAAATGGGCATTGTAGATGGTTCAGGCTAATGGTCAACTGAATATTTCTCAGTCTTGTACGAAAAACTGAATTGCATGCAGAGGGGTTAGTAGTCCCTCTACACCAACAGGTGGACAACTAATTCCTGTAGTCTTTCTTTAAGGAAGCTTGAAAATGTTATACTTGGTGACATATAACTTTATTAATGGACTTTACATAAGAGAACATTTAGTTTAATGAGGTGCCTGGGTGGTTCAGTTGGTTGAGCGTCTGACTCTTGATTTTGGCTCAGGTCATGATCACACAGTTTGTGGCATCGAGCCCCAGTGCGGGGCTCTGTGCTGACAGCGTGGAGCCTGCTTGGGATTCTTTCTCTCCCTCTCTCTGGCCCTCCCCAGTTCATGCTCTGTCTCAAAATAAACATATAAAAAAATAATAAATAACATAGCTGGCAGCAAATTTACAGATGTCCTCAGAAGAGCAACGCCTAAAGTACCCAAGGGACAGCTGTCTCCCCTGTTCTAGAAGACAGGTCCCCTGACCCAGGCTGGCGGTCACAAGAACCCCCTGCTGACATGTCCAGCAACCCCTCACCACCTGCGATTCTGTGAAAACGTGTTCCCCGGGTGCTATAAGCATTGTTAAGTGCCTGACTGAAGAGGGGTGGGAAAAGAATAAAGGACTGCTTCCCTCCTTTACAGGTTTTGTTTGCTGAGGAGGAAATGCAATGCCAGGAAATCTGCCTTTGACTTTAGTCATTCAACATATGAAATAAAGAACCCACCTCCCGGCCCCCCTAGAAAAAACTATGCTTTTAAAGCCATGTAATCCCTAGTGAAAAGGGGGGGCAGCTTCCCCCTCTGTAATCAGGATGCTCTGTAAAGTGAGCGGCAGGCCCCTGACACTGTCACCTCCTGCTACGTTCTCCTGAAAAGCCTGGAAATGTCGGCACCCACAGACCTCAGCTGCCTCAGGTTTTCCCATCAGGTATTCCTATGCAGCCGTCTGGGGACTCTTCCACAGGTTTTTCAAACACACTTTACAATGCAGACAACAAAGCTATTGTTAAATTTCCCTCCTCTCTTACTCAGCAGGAACCAGTCTGAGCCCCCAGGCTCCTGGTTTCTAGGGTTAGCGGTGGCTACACAGGTCTCTGAGTCAGGGTAAGTGTGTCCATAGAGCACACCCCCCACACAGGCTCGCAGAGTCCTACAGGATGGGGGCGTTTGAAGAGCTGGTGGGAAGGTGGATTTGTTTCACTGTTAAAAGTCACATTTCATTCTAAAAGATGAGCTTGAGCGTAAATATTTGTCACAAAAGGAAGACTGGGCACTCTTTAAAGAACTCAGTCACCCTTTTGGAGGGGAGGGTGAAGCAGGGATACAGGTCCGGGTCTTCCTGCCTTGGCAAATATTTATATTCAAGAACAAGACAGCGTTATAAATCTGCTTTTTGGGGAACAAACATGATTTTTTTAAAGGTCCTTTTAAATATTCCAGCTCTTCTCATTCTCTTTATTTTATCCCAAAATGGCTCTGACAGATCCAAACATACTTTCCTTCTTTTTTTGGCTATATCATCACTAAAAAGCAGACTTAAGTCACAGTAAAGTGCAAAAGAAAAAACGGTGGGGGCGGGGGGTAGAGCTGTATTAGAAGATAGAAGACATGGCCTCAGACCAGAGAAAATTATGTTAATTGCAGTGATCTAGAATGTCTTTTTATTTGTCAAAGTGGAATAATAAAGCCTGATCTTCATGGCATATTCTGGCACTTACCACCCATTACACCCTCGGGTTTTGTTTTGTTTTTTAAGTCACATCGCTACCCTGTTCCTTCAGGTATTTAAAGGTGTGCAGGAGAAGCCAGACTGCTGCTAAAATTCACGGGGAAATGTGAAGCAACTGGAGCCCCCCACCCCCAATTACACGGCGTCACATACGAAACAGCCAAGCAGAGGAGATTAAAAAAACTTCCGGCTTCCACGAACCAGCCTCTGCCTTCCACAGAACAGACTGATGCCCTCAAGCCCGCCTGGCACCCTGAGCCTGGGACACTTACTTAAGCACCTGCTGCCTGATGTTGTTTCTCAGTTGGTTCTTGTTGAGGTGGGGACTCCACGTATGAGTTGCCAAGTGGTTCGCAACAAAGCTGTCAACCCTTTGTCTCAGGTTCTGATAGGCAGGCTGGAGAGGGGAGAAAAAAAGGACAAATGTTAAAAATCGTAAGTGTTACATAATATCACTATTTAGAAGTCCCTGGAATTTGAGTATCTTTAACAGAGTTAACTTTTTTTTTTTTTTTTTTTTAAGATTACAGTATAGATGTGGCCACGGAAGTTTCTCAGCTTAGGACTGGTCAGCTGCAGGATACCTGAGACATGCAAATACTGCTTGTTTTGTCTAAGACAAGATGCTTGGAGATATGAGGAACCCAGAGAAGAAAGACATACCTCTTATTTGTAGACAAAGGACTCGAAAATCAGACCCAATTTAAATATTTGGGTTAGATTCGTGTTAGATGATCTGGAGCAAAGAAAGGGAGGGGAGCAGAAGAAGTCTTTGTCGAGGATGTGGCATTTGAGTTGGACCTTCTGGGTTTCGCAAAGCGGCTGGTCGTCGGAAAGGCAGGCCCTGCACGCACAGCCAACAACAGAAGCAGAGCGAGAGGATGAGAAAGCGCGGGGTCAGGAGCATCTAGGGGCCTCCAAGTTGGTTGGAGAAGAGAATATAAAAAAGTAAAGATAGGAGGTTGCGAACAGCCTGCGGCCTGGGGCTGGAGGGCTTTGGGGACCTGGGAGTTTGGGGTGGAGGACAGGGAGCCACTGCACGTGAGCAGAGGGATACACTACAGCTGAGCTTTCTGACAGTAAGAGAGTAAAGAGACACAAAATATACTTCGGAAAGGACGCAGCAACTACATTGTGAAGGCGTGTACTGGGGTAGTAGAGACGTGCTCAACCAACCCTGGAACTAGGCATTCGGGGTAGCGTCAGGTAGTGGTTCTGAACCAGGACAGAGTCTGCCTCCACCAACCCTCTGCGGGGGCTTTAGACAATGTCTGGAGACAATTTTGGTGGTTACAACTCAGGGAGCTGCCACTGGCATCTTGTGGGTAGAGGGCAGGGAGGCTGCTGAGTATCCTAGCGTGCACAGGGGAGCCCTGAACAGCAAAGAACTTTCTGGCCCAGAATGTCTGGTGCCGGGCTGAGAACCCCTAAATTAAGGGAAGCAGGAGAGACGACACATAGTATGTCACTTTTTTAAAAAGTTTTTTTTTGAGAGACAGAGAGAGAAGGAGGGAGGGAAGGAGGATGCGGGAGGGGCAGAGAAAGGAAGACAGAGGATCCCCTAGCAGGCTCAGCGCTGTCAGCACAAAGCCCGAGGCTGGGCTAGAATCAAGTGAGAGAACAGCGAGATCTCGAGACCTGAGCCGAAATCAAGAGTCAGACGCTTAACTGACTGTGCCACCCAGGGGCCCCCTATGCCACTTCTTAAAAGGACATGCCTAGGAGCGTTTGGCCACTCAATCAGGACTGCACGCTTCATTCCTAGAGACTGCGCCCCCCTCCACGATCCATCTGTCACGTGGCTTCTCATGTAAAGGAGTGAGAGTCCCTGAATGACTTTCAGCAAAACCGTACAGCTTCACCTGCTGCCGTTTGCTGCTCCCCTTACCCTTCAAAGCTCATACTCCAGCGAAACATTCTCACGCCTTCAATCTTCTGTACTCACCATTCCCTCTACTTTCCTCCCCCCCATCCCATGTTCCTCCCGTCTTGTATACATACCCATATCCCCTTCCCAACAATTCTTGCACTGTACTGTATTGGGGGGTATTTACCTCTCCACTGGAGTGGAAGGCTTAATCTTTGTTTTCACATAGCTTATCACACTGCTCAGTGGATAAGCAATGAAAAAGTAGCTGTAGGCTGAGATGGCCAGATAACTGTCTCCAGCACAGATGATAAGGCTTTGTCCCGTTGTGAAGCCCCCTCATCCCTTCCAATTTCCAGACTTTTGCTGATATCTATTTTCTATCCTACAAGAAACACTCAAGATCCCGTCTCACAACCATTTATCCAAAATCAACGTGAACTAAAATGGATTCTTCTTTCCAATGACTCTAAAACTTCGTTCTTCTCTCCAGTATCCCCAAGTCCCAGAACCACTGGCCTCAAACATCACAGAGCACCTAGCACTCCAGGTGCCCCAAACAAGCTCCAATTGGATCTAGAACTGGTAATTCTCCTTGTTGCCACATTCTCCTGTCAGTAAAAGGCCTGGTGACCCCAGGGATACTTTGGATTCCATTATTCCTCTGAGAAGCTTTCTCTTTCTCTTATTTTCCTTTTCCAGGCTCTGCTCAAAAACCCAGGAGTCATCCTTGACCCCTCCCTTTCTCCTCCACCCCAACTCCAAACCATTGGCAAATTCTGTCCGCATTAGCATCAAAATACACTTGGAATCTGACACTTTTCACCCTCTTTCCCACCACCACTCTGGTCCAAGGTGCTCTCATCTCCTGCCTCATCTCTTTGCTTCTACTCCTATTCACCTTAAGTCTATTTTTCATAGAGCCGCTCAGGTTAATCTTCCAGAATTAGGATAATCACATATTTATTGTCCAGACCACATCGTGACTGGGTGTGAAGGGGACACTCTTTAATAATTACACACCTAAACCCAACCCATCTCAAAGGGAAGTCGGATCATGTCCTTAGTACATGTGCTGCCGAAGCGAGCACCAGATCATGTCCTCAGGCTCGGTGCCTGCCAATGGCTTCTTAGCTCCAGTAAAAGCCCAAATCTTACAATGGCGGCCAAGGCCTGCTAGACCTGTGAAGGGAGGGCCACTCCCAGCTCACCTTCAGTCGTTTTCTCCCCCAAACCTTCCACACTGGCGGTGCCCTTACTTAGGACACGGAGCCCCCCCAGCTGGTATGGCTTCTTCAGCTCCTTCAGCACCAGCTCATGTAGCACCTCACTGAAATCTTCAGGACAACTTACTGAAAACAAATCAGTAACCCTTTCCACCCGCTCCCTGCTTTACTTCTTCCACAGAACCTACTACACGCTATTTCATGTCTGCTTTTCTCTGCTGGGATGTGCGCTTCACAAAAGCAGGGAGGTTTTGCTCACTGCTGAATCCTGGCACCAAAAGAGTGCTTTGTACATAATAAACATTTGTTGGTTGAATAAACTTATATACGGTCTTCAATATTCCTTCCAAATTAAAAAAAAGAGGCAATAATCACAGTGACCAGGAGCCATTCGTAACTGAGAAAGTTTACAAAACTTGACCTTTATTACCTGCGGAGAAAGGTGCAGTATTTATTTGGTTGGTGAGCTCCCTGCCTCGGATACAATGACAGGCCTCTCTTGATCGTCCCTCTTCACACTCTCCAGGGTGACCTCAGAGCAAAGGGGTCAGAATGGCGGGGATCTGAAAACTAGTCATCTATAGCAGAGAAGCCGCAGTGCTGTATGGGACGACCAAGGTTCTAATTCTTTGGGTAGGAGGGCCCATTGGTTTACTACGGTCAGATCCCTCTCTTGGTTGGTTAAGGGCCATTGACGACCCTGGGGCAGTTTAGAGGGTTTTACGGCCTTCTGGAAGGGCAGCCGGCTTTGGTGCTTCTCATCTTGCTTCAACCACACTGCGCAGGACGATGGTTCTGCTCTTACAGAGCTCCTGATCCGTATCTTGATTCTTAACTATGCATGTGACTGGCAATCCAGTTACTGCTACGACCCTATAGATTCTGTACTGCAGATCAGAGTTTGACATAAAGCAGTCCAGTCTTCAAGGTTCAATTCACAAAAGCACCACGCCACAAGTGGTCCCAATTATAAGTTGTTCTTACAGCGGAGATTCAACGGTTCCATAAACGTGATGCTCCTTCTCATGAACGGGGGATCTTACACCTACTCTGACCCGCTCATCACAGAGGAATGTCATGCTCAAAAGAAAACCTTGGCTTCTGCAGGAATTTTGAGACTTTCAAACTTAAGTCTTTTTTTTTTTTTAATAAGAAAAAGGATAGAAGATGCTACAAAACCCGAAGAAACACTTTAAATCAGATTAAAATCTGCAGAGTCGTTAGTAAAACTAAGGAACAGGAAGAGGGAGACAGTCATGGGGGAAAGAGGAAAGAGCCAGAACCAGGAGGCATAGAGGGAGAAGACAAGGAGGAAAAAGAGAGGCGGGCAGGCATCAGGAGCGAAGACAGAGCGAGACAGGACAGGAGGGGTGAGGAGAGAATTTCCGCCACACACAGGCATCCTTTTCTGTCAGGGAAGGGGTCCCATTTCAGCCCTCCTCTTCTCTGGTTTCACACATTAAAACAAGGGACCTTGTTCTGCAGCCACTGTAACTCCCTGAAACTATACAGAAGGCTGAGCCACGTGTAACTGCCTAGAGCCGACGATTTCTGAATCATAAAAGATGCACTTGAATATGCATATGTGCATTTTTTCTTGGGAGAAGGTTCCGGCTTCATTAGATAGTCCAAGCAAGTGTGCTTCCTTCCTTCCCACCAAGAAGGGTTTCGGGGCTGCACTTTGAAAGGATCTGGAATGGGCTTTACAGACTCGTGACAATAAACTTTAGTGGGGATGGGGGTGAAGAAGAAGTAGATGTTGCAGCGCCCCCTTCAGCATATCTTAAGTTTCCAATGTGCGTGCACAAGGGTAACAGAGGTGTAGGTTTCTGAGAAGAGTAGAGTGAAATCTCTACTCGCCTGACACAAATAACCAGTTTTATCTAGATAACATTTACCTGGACTTGTCTAACCTCCCATTTAAAAAAAAAAAAAAGGGCCATAGTCATTATTTACAAAAAGATCGATGTGCATATTCCCTAAAACGAAGTGAGAAAACTATATACTTCCTACACAGATAAACATCTCCAAGTACATCGAATTCTCTGTGGTGTAAAAACCCCAACACCCTGAAAAGGCACATTCTACCTATGGTCTACTTGGTGGATCAGAGTCCTTGTAAGATATCCCCAGACTGTCCAGAGAAGCCAGCAGAATCGTGTGCAGTTTTCATCAAATCCCAGTGAACACTGAGTCACAAGCAAATTCCATGTAAGACGCAAACACCCTTTGTCTCAAAGAAATCAGGTTCCGCAGAAAAGCTGAATGTGCGGAGAACACCCTCACCCCATCCAAACTCCAATCCGAGGGACCCAGCCAGATACCCTGATTTTCTAATTTCTAACTTCAGTTTCCAAATGAACCTTCCTGTTTCAAACATTTCCAGAATTCCAGACTCCGTTGTCCATGCACTTCACTGATGCTCCTTGCTGGTGCCCACAGCTCATTCTTTGCAGAATCAGCAAAGTGTACTCATTCCTGCTACCACCCCCTTTCCCTCTGACATTTGGTACAAAATCCTTCCCCTTCCCAGCTCCTAACTCTTTCCATACAAGGAAGCACTTTGCAGGCCTTCCCTTCCCATTCCTCTCCGAACTCACTCTTCTTTCCTGTCCACCTTCCACTTCAATACCTGCTGTCACCCCTCCTCAGACCTTTCCCCCACACTGAACGGCTTCTCCCTATCCCTTGGCCCCTTGCCACTTCAGAAAGGTGACTCGGCCTCAGCTACCTTAATTAGAGAGTGCTGGAAGCAAGAGTTCCATTCTCCCTAGCCCACCTTTCCACCGTCCGGCGCTGCCTCCTTACCTCTGCACCCCCACAGTGCCCAGCAATGCACAATGCAAATAATTTGATTCACTATCACTTAATGCCTCCAAAGGCCAGAGACGTGACCCTTACCGCCCAGAAACTTCAAGAGAGCACGCAAAAATAACTTCCATAAAAGTAAACCGCGGGGGGGAAAAGATCAGAGATGAAAGTCCTCTTAGCATCAGTGTTTCCAGACGAGTCTCCCTAAGAACAATGACTTAGTCTTGCTAACCACCACATACTCCGCGTCCACGCAATGCCTGCACGTAGTAGGTGATCAACACTAGCCGGTTAAACGAACGAAAGGATCGGCGAATGAATGAACGCACCGAGCCTCGCACAGTGCCTGGCTCCTAGCAGCCGCTCAAAGAGGAAGCGGCTGCACAGGGAACCCGGGGAGAGGCACGCTCAGCGGGGGTCCCACCTGGGGAAGTCGAGGCACAGCAGGCAGACGGACGAGTGCGGGAGACTGCCCGACCCGGCGCCCCTCGGGGTCCTCCCCTTCCCCCTTCCCTCGCAGCCCCCGCGCGCCCCGCACCTTGGTGTCCACGTCGGCCAGGCAGTCCCTGCGGAACTGGTCGAAGAGCCCCTGGCTCTTGAGGTGGTTCACGATCATGGCCACGAGCTGCGGGTCCCCGGCGCCGGTCCCCGCGCCGCCCGCCGCACCCGCGCCAGGGCCAGCCCCGGGGCCCGGCGGCGGCGGTGGCGGCTGCGGCTGCGGCGGGGGAGGCGGCGGCGCCGGAGGAGGCGGCTGCGGCTGCGGGTTGGTGGCCATGGAGGCCTGGGCCGGGGAAGGCGCGGGCCCGGGCGGGCGGGCGCTCCTGGGAGGCGGCGGCTGCACCGGTCCCGCCGCCTGAAGGAAGCCAACGGGATGTTGTTACGGAACCAGCGGATCCAGAGCAACCCCGGAAGTGAAAAGGAACCAGGGGAAGAGAGGAACAGGAGGTGACAATAGCAACGAAGGCTTGGCGACGGGAGCCGCGAGGGGCCAGTTCCGGCCGCCAACGGGCGCCCTCGCGAGGCGCGGTTGCGGCGGAAGCGGCGGCGACCGGGCGCTGTGAGCCGCCGTGGGGTCTGGGCCGAAGACCAAGGTCAGCAGTCCGGGGTGCTCGGGCGTACGAGCCACGCGACTCCCCAGGCCGGGGGCCGGCTGGGCGCCCGCGCGGGGCTGGCCGGCTTCCATCCACGGTGGCATTTAGGCCGGACGCTCTTGCTCCTTCCTCTTGAACCGAGCAGTCGAGATCCATAGGTGTTTATAATGCGAACCGTAGGTGGAAGTGCTTCTCTACCCCCCCACCCCCCCACCCCCAACCGCCTTCGCTCGGCCTACGATCCGGCCCAGTTTTCTTGCAAGCAGGTAGCTCCAGCGGCCCCCTGGCTTCCCCCCTCTCCATCCTGCTTTTCCACGGGCGTCCCCTTTCTCCGAGTGTGCCTGTGGTCTGGACCTCCCTCCATCCCACAGCGCCTTCCTGCCCGTGGCTTTTAGTTTTAACAGTTTGTTATTGATTACTTTGATAGGAACAGGTAACGCTCCTATAGCTCGCACTGTGTGCCAGGCGTGGCGCTAGAAGCTTCTTATATGCGTTAAAGAGTTCAATCTTTGGAATAACCCTAAGCTAGGTCTTACCTAGGTCATCTGTTCGCCAGTCAGGAAACGGAGGCCCTTGAGACCTTAAGTAAATTGCCGAAGGATACGAAGACGGAAAGCAAATTGCCTGATTCTAGACCGAGCTCTTTTAAAAATTATTGGGGCACCTGGGTGGCTCAGTCGGTTGGGTGTCTGACTTCGGCGCAGGTCATGATCTCGCGGTTCGTGGGTTCGAGCCCCGCGTCGGGCTCTGTGCTGACTGCCAGCTCAGAGCCTGGAGCCTGTCTCAGAGTCTGTGTCTCCCTCTCTCTCTGACCCTCCCCTGCTCACGCTGTCTCTCTCTCTCTCTCTCCTAGAAATAAATAAAACATTAAAAATTAAAAAAAAATAAAAATAAAAATTATTATTAGCACATGGTCAAAGTGAAATAGGTATTAACACATTTTCGTTGTTTAGTAGAATGTAAACTTTTTTTTTTAATGTTTTATTTATTTCTAGGAGAGAGAGAGAGAGACAGCGTGAGCAGGGGAGGGTCAGAGAGAGAGAGGGAGTCACAGACTGAAACAGGCTCCAGGCTCTGAGCTGGCAGTCAGCACAGAGCCCGACGCGGGGCTCGAACCCACGAACCACGAGATCATGACCTGAGCGAAAGTCGGACACTTAACCGACTAAGCCACCCAGGCGCCCCTAGTAGAATGTAAACTTTATTGGAAAATGCATCTTGGGTAGAGTGGAGACTGTTGCTTTTACAAATTCACCTGTCTGCATGAATACGCTTCACTGCTGGAAGGGGAAAGGCTCAGCATGACCTCTACTGTCATTTCCAGTGTTTATAGCTGTATGCCCTGAAAAACCGAGTTCACATAAACAAGTGCTATACCTGGGAATGGAGTCGCCCTATAGCAGGGTCCCTCAATTCTTGATCTCAAAAAATTAGAGTTGCTGACTTATCAGTTCACTTACTCAATTCAGGCTTCCTTCAATTTTGTTGAAAGCAAACAATTGAAAACCGTGCGACTTGCCAAAGCATTTGTTTATCTAGTCCTTATTGTTCCACTTTTTAGTTTCTGGGAAATATACTTAACAACGTATCAAATGATTATGAATTAGCCTTTTTTTTTTTCCAGTGAGATGCATCTTGTTTAACCTGAGACACTCAAAGTTTGGGGAGAATCTAGACATTGTTCATTTTCATAAATGGTTGCAGATAAAATGGTGTTTTAAATTTTGTTTTGTTTTCAGAAAGCTCAGTTTGTTTTGGTCAAGATTTTGCAGCTAATGATACAGCTCATTCAAGTTGAAGCCTTGTCAAGCATGGAAAAATGTTCATCATATTCCCTAATTAATAGAGTCTGTTTTCACCATCAAACTAGCCAGTTTGGATTTAGTTTCCCTGAGAAAGAGTTTGACTTCAGTTTCACTTCAAATAAAGTGCCTTGCATTTTGAAGATTATAATGAAGACTGCAGAGAGAAAAGTCATGGAATGAATTGTAAAAGATTTATTAGTAGAACCAATGAAGATTAAAATAGTGTAAGACATAATTGTTTAAGCCATTTTCAAAATTAGTGAAAATACAATGCAAATATGATGTTTCCTTTAGTTATCAACAGGGCAAAATAATACTTTGCTAAATATATTTATATTATTTATTAAGTGCATAGGATGATAAAAAGCATGGCATTAGTTTGGTGTATATGGGTGCATGTATCATCAAATTTGTTCAGCTTTTGGGGAATAACTAAGAATCATCCATAAAAACTCAGCAAAACTCCATAAATAAACTCAGGCATAGTGACCAAACAAACAAAAATAATGGAACAATAAGGAATTTGCTGCTAAAAAGAAATAGATTCAGTGGCTAGTAGCTAATTTTTTATTTTGTGAACAACATTTTAGGAAATCCTAAATATTTTCTCTAAGTTTTAAGGTGAGACCTGATAATAATTTAAACAGATGATCCACAATTGATATATAAAATGTGTGTTAACTGTTACTGAATAACTTATTTCTGTTGTTAAAGAAATGACAGGGGTGCCTGGGTGGCTTAGTCGGTTAAGCGTCCGACTTTCGCTTGGGTCATGATCTCGCGGTTCGTGGGTTCGAGCCCCGCATCGGGCTCTGTGCTGACTGCCAGCTCAGAGCCTGGAGCCTGTTTCAGTCTGTGACTCCCTCTCTCTCTCTGACTCTCCCCTGCTCACGCTGTCTCTCTCTCTCTCTCTCTCTCTCTCCTAGAAATAAATAAAACATTAAAAAAAAAGTCATCATTTCTTACGAATGACCTCTTTGATCTCTTCTGTTTCTTTGAAAACAGTAATACAATTTTTGACAATAGCGAGGGTGTGAGATCTTCAAAAAAAAAATTGCCATTGTTCCTGTTCCCTACTATATGTGTCTGAATTCAGAACATTCCACTAAGGACCAAATACTTCTCTCTCTGAACATGATTGAGATCTCATTGTTTCCTAAGTCTGATGCTAAGGTCACGGTTAGCAGACTTTACAAACACTTTGGGAATGAGGGGAAGGATGGCGTGTTATAGCAGCCACTTAGTGCTGCTATACTGGTAGCCATGTGTATCCTTGGACATCAGACCCCTGCCAGGTAAGTGTCTGGCTCTTGCGATTTCCACTCTTCTATAGTCCAGCCTGCCTAACCCCCCACCCCTACCCAGTCCTCTAAACCCTGTCTCTGAGGGCTAATCCAGTGAAGGTCAACCCCTGGTTTATAATATGCCATCTCCTAAACCCAGAAAACCCATCTGCTTATCCAGCAGAACAGTTTCTTTTCCCTCACATCCCTTGGGCACTCCCCCCCCCACCCCAAACTAGGCCCAAGGCCTTGCCTTTCATAGTCAAAAGACTGACCACTAACATTTCTTAAATGACCTCCATCCACCCAAAGCCCAGTTAAAACCTTGAAAGTTCACTTTTTCAATGACACTAGAATACGGTTTTAGGTGGGGTTCAAATGCCCATTAAGCTTTTGTAGCAGTTTTTATAAGGCTGTTCAGGAGAAGAGATGTGTGATTTGCCTTTCCACAGTCAACTCCAGGGTCACAGCCAGCCCTGGATTTCAGTTGCGGTATAAAATAACCAGTAAAAGTGAAAAGTAGCAGTTGTGCAGAGCATTATAAAATGTGAATGTGAGAATCGCGGGGGTGGGGGGGTGGGGGAGTGTTTTTTTCCTCTTGAAGGAACTTCAAAGAATTGCCGCCTGCTCTGGGGTCAGGACTTGGAGATGAGGTGACACAGGGGACGGGGGGTGGTCCCAGAGCAACATTTGGCTAGCAGACACTGGAAACTTCCTCGTTCCTTGCCAGTCTGGGAGTGCTCACGAGTGGAGGTGCTTTGGAAATGGTGGCTGAGTGAGCATATGTTAGAGCTGCAGAATTCAAGAAGGCCGCGGAGCCTTAGCTGGTAGGACGATGGAGCACAGCCAGATAGCAGTAATGGCAACAGAGAAAGGGACTGGGCCCTGGGATATTGGGGCAGGAACTTCAGAGGAGAGAAATTTTGATGTGGGATGAGGGTGGGGGTTGGAGGCTGGGAGGGGACACTTTCTGGTGAAGTAGGACCTATCAATCATCTTACTTATTCTTTACGTGATAGTAGAGTTCTGGGTCGTTAATCAGGAAGATTAACAGTGGCCCTCAAGCTTTAGCATGCATCAGAAATTTCTGGAGGGCCGGTGAATGCACAGTGCTGGCCCCATCCATGCCAAGTCGAATTTGGTAGGTCTAGGTCAGGGCCTGAGACTTGTGTTTTCAACAAATGTTGATGGATCACCTTCTGAGAAACACTGGACTAGACCACACGTCACAGGCCTAGTCCGGTTTACCTGTCCTTATAAATATTCATTGCAGCCTGGCTATGCCCATTGGGTTTGCTTTGTGTCCATTGTCTGGCTTTGCTTTTCTCTGCAAGGTTGGAGTTGAGACAGTCTGTATGGTTGGCAAAGCTGAGATTGGTGACCATATCGCCCTTTGTAGAAAACGTCTGCCCCACCCCTGGGCTGGAAGGAGGCAGCAAAGGTGCGGTTATGAGACTTTCCATTTGGGAAGCCTGCCTTCCAGAACTTCTGTCATTCACTAGATAACAAAGTACTTCTCCCAACAGAGGACATAATGCCTAATTAGCAGGGTAGCCATGACTTATAAATGACAGTGGCCTGTACTATGCAGCTCAGATGAAGTGAATTATTAAGAATG